GAAGCTAAATTGTTTTCATCTTGTAAAGCCAGAGGTTAAGCGACAGTTATGATTGGGATCGGTAGCCATTTCGTGTTTGTATCCCAAAAGATCCTAGCTTCAGTTGTCTCCATTTATTCAAAACGATTTTTTTTTCTAATCTGTTTGTTTTGGCTTTGTGCAGGTCCAGGTGGGCAGTTCACCAAAGTATAGAGTTGATAAAAAGCTTGGTAAAGGAGGATTTGGCCAAGTATATGTTGGCCGCCGCATGTTAGCTAACGGTCCAGGTGCTTCTGAGGTATTTAGTGCCAGCCTATTTGTAAAACTGTACTTGTAACCGTGGATGGTATTAACGGTTGAAAATAAATATCGTGCTTTCGAATGGTAGGTGGCGCTAAAGTTTGAACATAGAACCAGTAAAGGATGCAACCATGGGCCTCCTTACGAATGGCAGGTTTACAAGTATGTGCCTCATGATCTGCCATTATGCATAGCAAGTTGCATGCTATATATAGGTACCTGACTTTTATCATGGCCATCGTATATACAGCGCCATCGGTGGCATTCATGGGGTTCCTCGAGTCCACTATAAAGGACGTCAAGGCGAATACTATGTTATAGTAATGACACCTCATTTTGACTACTACGAGAGAAACTGTTTTCTTTTTGCCCTTTCCAAAATTTTAATTAACTTGGTTTATGAAAAATGTAGGTTATGGATATGCTGGGACCCAGTCTTTGGGATGTTTGGAATAATAATTCTCACACGTGAGTTTTCCAATTTAGCTAACATTTATGTAGACTTCTAATTTATCACTAACATAGTTTGTTTTGGTTTTCAGAATGTCTGTTGAGATGGTTGCGTGCATCGCTATTGAAGCTATCTCCATACTTGAGAAAATGCATTCAAAAGGGTTGGTTGCCATCTCTCTAATTATTATTATCCCCTCCCCACCAAAATACATTTTATTTCCTCTGTTGTAATAGAAAATGTTTTGCAATCGCAGATATGTTCATGGGGATGTGAAACCTGAAAATTTCTTGCTAGGGCCTATTGGAACTCCTGAAGAAAAGAGACTCTTCCTTGTCGATCTTGGTTTAGGTAACTAAATCTTCACAGATTAACCAACTGCTCGATCATTGTCTATTCAATTGTTTTAAGGTAGCAGCAGATTGAGGAGTCTGAATTAATTGAGTTTAATCTATCTTTAAATGGCAGCTACCAAGTGGAGAGATGCTTCAACTGGCCTCCACGTTGACTATGACCAGCGACCTGATGTTTTCAGGTGACCAGATGGAAATTTTATGATAATCAATAGGCATCATTTACATTGTCGCTAGTGCTTTTATGGATAATATTGAATGCTCTGTGGCATTTCCTTCGTAGGTTCTGTTTCCTGTTTTTGGTTGAGTCCTAGGATGCAGCCAAATCAGGTCACCCTTTGTACTGGTTTCTGGCCAACAATTATTTTCATTCACTTAAATTTTGTTTTATCTTTTTTTTCCCCGCATTCTGCTTGTTCCTGTACAACCATTATTCATTACTTCTCAACAGCACTAAATGCGGCTGGCACTGGTGCTGGTCAATCACTCCTCACTATTATGTTTGGTGACTGGCTGTTTCTGCATGGAAATAGAGCCCTAATTTCTGTCTTGAATGCCAACTCATTCTTCATGTTGTAGGCTTATAGCAAATCAGTAACTCTGCCTTGCTTTTGCTGCTATTTCAGGGGGACAGTTCGCTATGCTAGTGTTCATGCACATCTAGGGAGAATCGGTAGCCGAAGGGATGATTTAGAATCTCTAGCTTACACACTAGTTTTTCTTCTACGGGGGCGTCTACCTTGGCAAGGTTATCAGGTAATTCGCCGGACCCACCATTCCATTTATTCTGATTGTAGTAATACATTTAAATAATTGATAGTGTGTGCCTGCAGGGTGAAAACAAGGGTTTCCTTGTGTGCAAAAAGAAAATGGCTACGTCTCCAGAATCATTGTGCTGCTTTTGCCCACAACCCTTTAGGGAGTTTGTAGAGTATGTGGTCAACTTGAAGTTTGATGAAGAACCTAACTATGCAAAGTGTATATCCCTTTTCGATACTGTAGTGGGCCCAAATCCAGATATCAGGCCAATTAACACCGATGGTGCTCAGAAGGTACAATACAATCATATATTGCAATCTGTTATACTGCTTAAAAATCATGACTTTGGTTGCACTAATCTTCCTTGTAATTTCTCTAAAGCTTATACATCTAGTTGGCCAAAAGAGAGGTCGCTTATTGATGGAAGAGACAGATGAACAACCAAAGAAGAAGATCAGGATGGGTATGCCTGCAACACAGTGGATTAGTGTTTATAATGCCAGACGGCCTATGAAACAAAGGTACTTTTTCTTATGAGGCCCGAAAGTTTTAGTTTATAGTTAGCTATATGATCCACCTTTGTTAATGCAGTACAATGCAACATACATGTTCTATATTTTGCAGGTATCACTACAACGTTGCAGATTCAAGGCTTGTACAACACATTGACAAAGGGAATGAAGATGGTCTGTTTATCAGTTGCATAACATCTTGCTCAAATCTGTGGGCTCTAATCATGGATGCTGGCACTGGGTTCACTTCCCAGGTTTATGAACTTTCACCACATTTTCTTCACAAGGTGAGTAGCTTGCTCCTTGTTTAACTGGTGGAAAATCTTAGCAAACTAATCACATAACTTTTCAAGGCAAAGTTACATATAAGGAAGCTCTTGTATACATTGTCAAATGTGATTCCATGGTTTTCTGGTCATTTGAAGGAATGGATTATGGACCAATGGGAAAGGAACTACTATATAACTGCACTTGCTGGAGCAAATAATGGGAGTTCCCTGGTAGTGATGTCAAAAGGTAACCAGTTAAAGCATGCTGTTTCAGTGCTATTCCTGTCTTATAATGTATAAATTATTCTTTGACTAACTTAGCATGCTTTTTTAGGAACAATGTATACACAACAATCCTACAAAGTAAGTGATACTTTCCCTTTCAAATGGATAAACAAGAAATGGAGGGACGGTTTTTATGTGACTTCCATGGCAACAGCTGGAAGTAGATGGGCAGTTGTTATGTCGCGTAATGCTGGATTTTCTGATCAGGTAGCATTCTTTCTGCTGCAATGGTGTTCATCAATATTTACATTTGTTTGACAATATGCATTTGCATTTATTTTACAGGTTGTCGAACTGGACTTCCTATACCCCAGTGAGGGAATTCACCAGAGATGGGACAATGGTTACCGGATAACTGCAACTGCTGCAACCTGGGATCAGGCTGCATTCGTTTTAAGCGTCCCAAGAAGGAAGCCTACAGATGAAACTCAAGAGACGCTGAGAACATCTGCTTTCCCTAGTCAACATGTCAAGGTTCGTCTGCTTCATATACTAGTAACGTACTTGGCAGTTTTTGCCGTTAGTACTTTGCTCTGACAGAGTGATGCTTGTCTCGTTCCAGGAGAAATGGTCCAAGAATCTCTACCTTGCATCAGTATGCTATGGACGTACTGTATCCTAGAAATCTGGCCATCTAGTTGAAGCCATTTCGAGTTCTAGGCTTCTAGCATTGGTCTCTGCTCAGAGTGCAGCGGCTTATGTGATGCTGGCAAGTTCTGAATGCGACTTAGCGTACCCTGACTATCGTGCTGTCGTGAAGATATTTAATGGCTATCGTTCTTAATTATAGAAGAGCTTGTACAGTAGTAAATGTTTTTGTAGTTCGTGTAATCGTTCATGTAGTGTACTGTTAATTGTAGTGCAAGGCGTTGTCAGATGTGTACACCTGTCCGATATGATTGAACTCCTATCTAATCGTGTGAAAGCATGAGGTTCCTGCTCGCCACCTTATGAGCTACTTACTGTTACCATCTCCTCACCTCACCTGTGCGCAATGCGCTATTGCTGGCTTGCCGAAAACCTCTTCAGAATACAAGGTTCTCTTTCAACATTGAATTGATTTTCTCCTCGCAAAATTAAAGAAATCTTTTTTGAAAATGGTGTGTTCGAAACGAGACAAACGACCATGCATAATATGTAACTCTAGGCTGTTGCTGGCTTGCCGAAAACCTCTTCAGATTAAAAGGTTTGTTCTCTTTCTACATCGAATTGATTTTCTCCTCGCAAAATTAAAGAAATCTTTTTCGAAAATGGTATGTTCCAAATGAGACAAACGACCGTGCATAATACTATATACTCTAGGCTAGTGGAACCTGGGATGCCAGGTTGTTTAAAATTTCTACATTAGACTGAACATAACTACGGAGTAGTACTTTCCATTTAGGATCTGGGTCCCTCTGAACTTGGGGCTCGTGAATAGTCGTGACAATTTTATCGATTATGCATGTTGCATCAAGGCCTTGCACCACCAATCAACTAGAGTATTCAGTTTTACTAACATCGGAAGGTCGTTACCGTGTATTATCAATCTACCATCTAGGGAAAGGACCTGTACAGTACTTTATTTGTTAAACATCTTCGGTCTAATCTGCGTCCTTCAGCAGCTCCAGCGGTGAAACATAAGGGCCTGTTTAGGTCGTGAAATGAAAAATTTTATGTCACATCAGATGTTTGACCGGATGTCGGAAGGGGTTTTCGGACACGAATGAAAAAACTAATTTTATAACTCGCCTGGAAACCGCGAGACGAATCTTTTGAGCCTAATTAATCCGTCATTAGCATATATGAGTTACTGTAGCACTTATGGCTAATCATGGCCTAATTAGGCTCAAAAGTTTCGTCTCGCGATTTCCATGCAAACTGTGCAATTAGCTTTTCTTTTTATCTATATTTAATGTTTTATATATGTGTCCAAAGATTCGATGTGATGTTTTTGGGAAAAGTTTTAGCACTTTTTTGGTTGTTTTACTGGACTGGTAACTTTGATGCCTTCATCTCGGCTTGGACTACGAAAGCCTTGAGCTTTCAAATCTATGATATTTTCATGACATGCGTACTGAACTCATCTTACTCTTGAGTTTGATTCCCAGAGTCCAGAAAGGTAGATCGATCATTTTCCAGGCACCAAGTTTATAGTGAGCAGTAGTGACTGACAAAAACTGTACAGACAAAGCCGAGTTGCATATTCAGAGAACAGGTCCTGTATTTCACAAATCACAACAACCAAGTCGAATGCAAGCTTGACAGGAGAAAGTGGTATCCAAGCACAAGGCAAGCAGCCACCATGAACTGCAGGTTCAACGGGATGATCTTGCCGGCATCCGCGCTCAACACCTCGCTCGCCTTGCCAGCCGCCGTGCCGGCCGAAGGGAAGCAGTAGAACAACTCCGCGGAGGCGACACCGGTGTCGCCGCCGTTTCCTCGGAGGTCGTCATTGCTGTACGCTGGCTTCCCGGCCACGCTCTTGTAGAGCCCACCGTTGCATGCCTGCATACACGCAGCCGGAGGAGGAGACAGGTAAGTAACGAGAGAACGAATCATGGCGACGAAATGATTGCAGATGCGACGCGACGGCGGGCAATGTCCACATGGCAGCTCTGCTAGTTCAGTCAGTTTCTTGTTTGCAGACAATAGAGGCGTCGTCAACTCGTCGCAGGTAGAAACTTAAGATTTGAGAAACGGTTTGGAGCTGTAAGAGATCGGACGCGTGACCTGGAGCTGGTCGCCGACGGTGACGACGACGGCGCCGTCCATGGGCCTGAATCTGGACCAGCCTCGCCGGGAGAAGATGTGGAACGCCGAGGCGCCGGGGCAGAGGTGGAGGGCGAGGGCCCGCGAGCACCGCGAGCTCCGGACCAGCATCCTCAGGATGTCGTCGTGGCGGATCGGGCCAGAGGCGCCGCCGCTGCGGTCGTCTTGCCTGCGGCGGTGCTTGCGGATGCAGAGGAGCGAGCCGTTTGTGTCAGCTCCGGCGATGGATTGCGTGGCAACGGCGCCGCCTCGCTGCAGGACGTCCATTATTTTGGTTGCGGTTTGCTCCAGCTGAATGAACAAAGCGTCTGCTGTGTTCCTGGGCACAAAAAAAATCAAATGGTTAGTGTTGTGAGTTTGGACTAGACAAATTATACAACGATCTTAGCTCGTTCTTTTGGTCCAAATTCTGACAATCACATCGACTGTTTGATCTAAACTATGTGACGAATTCTGCAAAATTATCAAACCTCGCATGTAGATCGACATGCTAGATTACGAGTTTTTTATATACATATTATTTCTGAGGAAGACATGATCACATGAGTACACAGTAACAGACTAACAGTGAAGTACCTGAAGTGGCTGGCGCCACTTTGGAGCGCCCAATTTCCCGCCATTTCTTGGCCTCCGTCACCAGGCGACCACCACATCTCCTCACCGTTCTCATCGTCTCCGTTGACCTCCACCTCCTCCGGCTCCGGCGTCGCTGCCCTTGCAGTTGCAGCTGCCACATGACGCAACGCTGCTGAGACCAAGCTCCGGTCGACCCCATGGCCGACCACCTGGAAGCAGCCAAACGCGACGGCTGCCGACCTCAGCGCCTCCGCCACCGGACCGCCGGCCTCCGGCAAGGCCAGCAGGCGCACGTCGATGACCGGAGGTGCCCACGCCGCTTTCTTCTTCCGCGGGACGGCCCTCTCCGGCAGCCGCAGCACCGGGACTCTGGCGGAGCGGCGCAAGAACCTGCCGATCTCGTCGTCTTCGTTGCTATCGGGGCACTCGCCGTATGCAAGAGAGCCGGAGCTACTGCTCGTGAGGACGCCGGTGACCGGAGACGGCGGCGGTGCCCGGAACTCCGGCACCGGAAGCTCTCTCGGCCTCTGAAGATAGGTAACCACCGATGCAGTAGCCATAGCTGATCTCATGGCCTCTTAGCTTTGGCTTGAACTCTTATGTGATTCGCGTTGGCATGGAGAAATGGTGCTTGAGTTCTTGTGTTCTTGTAGGGCCATGGATTTTAAGCTTCTTTTTCTTTGTGGAAAAGGGGAAATGATAAGAGGAGCCAGATGCCAGCTAGAAAGAGGGAGAGGGTGGAAGGCATGATGCTGCATCAGCCATCATTGTGTCAGAGGTGCAAGTAGATACACTGTGTACCTTCGAAATATCATTCTGCGTTCTTTTTAAGGATATTCTGGAACAGCAAAGCGCTTTGCTTTGTTTCAACTGCTTTAAATCAGGCAGGTTTAGCGTCCTTTTGTCAGGTCAGTCCTTTATTCTTGCGGTTGCACAGGTTTCGTTGAATGAGAGGATCAGTTCATCAGTCACGGTAGAAGTACTCCATTTTACCAACTTTGGGCTTTCACTTTCATCAGTTCACTCATATACTTGTCAGAACTCAGGAGTACCGTTGTAAAGGAGTTATGAGCATTGCGTGCGATGTCCATAGGCATGTTTTTTCTCAGATAATACAGTACAAATAAATGCGCAATCTACCATGTTAGTGGGGATAGCTCAGTTGGGAGAGCGCCAGACTGAAGATCTGAAGGTCGCGTGTTCGATCCACGCTCACCGCAAATTTAATCTTCTCATTTTTTTTCACAGAGGATTTCCTTTTTGCTGCGGATGTGTTTTGCTAATCTTCTCATTTTATTTTTCACAGGATTTCCTTTTTGCACAGAGGATTTCCTTTTTGCAGGATGTGTTTTGCTAATCTTCTCATTTTATTTTTCACAGGATTTCCTTTTTGCAGGATGTGTTTTGCTAATCTTCTCGTTTTTTTCACAGGGTTTCCTTTTTGCAGGATGTGTTTTGCTAATCTTCTCACTTTTTTTTCACAGAGGATTTCCTTTTTGCAGGATGTGTTTTGCTAATCTTCTCGTTTTTTTCACAGGGTTTCCTTTTTGCAGGATGTGTTTTGCTAATCTTCTCACTTTTTTTTCACAGAGGATTTCCTTTTTGCAGGATGTGTTTTGCTAATCTTCTCATTTTTGATATTTCCTTTTTGCAGGTGTGTTTTTGCAGGGTGTGTTCTGCCAATCTTCTCATTTTTTATATTTCCTTTTTGCAGGATGTGTTTTGCCAATCTTCTCCATTTTACAGGATTTCCTTTTTGCAAGATGTGTTTTGCTAATAATTTTTTTCCACAATATTTCCTTTTTGCAGGATGTGTTTTGCTAATCTTCTCATTTTTTATATTTCCTTTTTGCAGGTGTTTTTTTTTTGGCTATTCTTCTCATTTTTGATATTTTTCCCCATGATTTCCCTTTTGCATGATGATCTCTTTTTTGCTTATTTTTCTTCTTCTCACAGGTTTTGCCTTTATTCCCCTTCCTTTTGCTCTCAGGGACTAAAATTTGTCTCACAGATGTCCAGGCCACTCACTGACACACAGGGTAACTTCTTTTCTTCTCACAGGATTACTTTTTTCCCCTAACCCACAGCGCGCAAAGAAAAACGGAATTACCGCATGAAAGCCGTGACAAAAATGGTACAAATGTTCGCTGCTCATCATGAATCTTTAACCAAGATACGTTGTTGAGTCGACCAGCGAAACTTATACAGATACACAGAAAACACCAGTAGCACCTCCTAAACTACCCCCCGTGTGTTTCAGCGCAAAAGTTGAGTTACATCACAGTTGCCAAACTTGCATGGATGCTTCGTCAGATTCTATTTCTACCGTCTTTTGGAAGGCTTGGCTAAGGATCCTCCTGTCGCCTGCGCAGTTCCAGGTCTCATGCTACCTGTTTAATGAATACAAGCTTATCAGTAGAATGTTGTTTGTGGGTTCCATTTCTAGGTGTTCTCATAGCAATTATTAAATTTTGGCAAATACCGAGTACTGGTGACCCAGCATGCCGAATATTTTTGGGATATATACATACCTTGAGTTTTCGGAACAACCTCCCTTGGTTTTGGTCTAGAAGTTGATGGCTGCCCGTTCTTCGTGAGAAAGAATCTGGTTATTCTTGATGGCGCTTTATGCCTGTTATCATAGAGCTCACCCATTAAACAGTGGACGTCATTGTTTTCTTAAAAATAAAAACGAAGTGTTTTTGGTAATGCATATGGAGCAAAAGAATGTTGAAGCCCTACATATTTTGCTTGCATTGTATGCTGTTTAAGTCAGTAAATGATGAGAAGAAAAAAGTTCATCACACTGCTAGAGAAACGGTTTTTACTCCCGGTTATAGCAACCAGGACATCTTTAGTCCTGGTTGAGAGAACCGGTACTAAAGTTGCATAGCAAATGAAAAATATATGTGGGATGTGGGATTTGAACTCAAGATCTCTCGCCTCAGCCCTCACTAACCATCCCACCTACTACACACATCTGACTTGAATAGAGATGCTTTTTTTTTTAACTAACCCTAGAGGCATCTTACCAACCAGGACTAAAGATTATTTTTTAGTCCCGATTGGTAATACCAACCCAGACTAAAAATGTTTCGAGGGACTTGGAGCATCTTAAGTACCGGTTCTTAATCTAACCGGGACAATCATTAGTTCTCCACTAGTGTCACAAGCGCACGATGGTTTAGCACAGGAGATAAAGGAAAACAGGATGAGTACATACGCTCGTTCTGCTGATGTTTCTGAAGCACCAGCAGGAGAATACTCAGTTTCCCCCACTGAGCAACCATCGTCAGATGCATTATCTTCAGCTTCAGCTTCAACGGATCCTGCAAGCCCAGTATCAGCTAGTGGAGTCAGTGTGACCACTATTATTTTCATCGACAAGCGTATAATTTTGAGTATCTGGTAAGAGCTCTATCACTAGAGTTCAACGCTACTTCACCTGATAGCTGTTGGTTCTGTTGGCTTGCCACGGGAAGTGATGACAAACCAGTAGAGGAAGTAGATTGTCTCAGCAAGTTACTGCCATTTCTGTCTGTCATTGAATTGGGAGATTTGGATTTAAGGAGCTGAAGCTGTTCGATTTCCATATCTTTTCGTGCTATTGTATCTTTCAAAGATGCAACCTGGACAATAACACAATTATGAAATCGAGGCAGGATAATATTAATAACCAAAGGTGAACGGAGAAGCTACTGACAAAAGTATATTAACAAGTTAACAAGTACTCCTTATTAGCAATACGTGCTATCAAAATACATAATAATGTTATTTTTACTCCTATTAAAGTCTAATAATGTATGCTCACCTTTTATTTCAGTTCAACAGAAGAAACGTTTCAGTTCATCTTTGAAACTGAATATTAAGTGCTTGCTAGGGATTATAATTCAAGTAAGTGGCACACGAACTTTATATGATTAATCAGAGGCTGATGTGCCAAAAAAAATACCTGTTCCAGCAGCTCTTTTATGTCTTTCCCCTCTCTGTTACTTCTCGCAGCACCTAACTCAACTCCAGAAACCCTTTCAGCAAATTTTAAAGTACTTATGGTTTCTGAATATGATTCAATATCAGGGTTTATTTGAACAAACATTAGTGTCTTTGCTTGTCCACCTACAAGAAAGCGCATAAGTTAGGCAAACTAGTAAGCCTATCCACGTACACATCTATCAACAACTATATGTTACCTAAAGAACTCTGAAGAACTTGAGTTAGCTTGCTGTTTCTATATGGCACATGGGCATTCTTCTGGGCCAAAGAAAAAATGACATCTCCAAGAGCAGAGAGAGATTTGTTAATATGCTGTGCCTCTTTTAATCTGTCTCCTGTTGCTTCAGATCGTTCAACTCTCTCACTTCCAGCGAGATCAATCAGATGTAGACATCCTCGAGAAGTAGAACCATTCTTCACGTCCAGTCCTCTAACATGCACAGTTAGAATGCTGCATAAAAGAAAAAGCTTTTAGAATACATCATAAGACTTTCTGTGTGGGGTGAAATCTATTAGTAGTTTATCATGTATACCTGTGGGAGCGACTGCTCCTTTCATTTAGAGCTGTTGATCCAACTGCTCTATTTGACTGTCCAATTTCCATCAAGTCTAGTACGTCTGATGTTGATTTGACAGGGTGTAAACTTGCATCAGGAACTACAAGGCCATTAGGCTGAGAAGTACTCCAAATTCCAAGTGTTTATATATGTTAAGGATAACATGTTAGACCTTGTTTTCACATGTTTATCCATGTCAATATTAATAGCTCAATGAGGATAGATTTGTCGACTGGAAATAGAATATATAAAAAGGATATCTTTTTTGTGCAATGTCATTTGACAGAAGATCGCGAACTTGCTCATTGTATATTTCAACCATCTGCACTCCCACCTCATATGAGAATGCATTTTTCCTACTTAGAGAAATATCAAACAGATCATTTAAAGCACGATAGTTAACACCCCAGTCTTCTCTTGATGTCCCTGGTCCACTCTAAAGGGTAAAAGATAAGAGAGTCAATTTACAATATCCCCAATGATAGTTAGCAGAGCAGGTTTGCTGTCTTGAATTAGTTAAACAGTAGTAAATACCATTGTGTATGTTTTTCCTGAACCAGTTTGTCCATATGCAAAAATGCAAACATTGAATCCATCAAGAACTGATCTAATCAAAGGTTGGATATCGGAGAAAACTTCAGCTGTGAGTTATCAAATAAAAGCTTGTGAGCAATGTTCAACTGTATGCCAAATTTTTTTTTCTTTAATTAAATTCCTGCTCTTACTAATATATACCTTGAGAGGAATGTGTACCGAACACTTTGTTAAACTTAAACATTCGATACCCTTCCTTTCCTTGCTTGGAGGGGTTTGCAATAAGAATCTCGCCATTTTCACCAATATAGTCAATTGCAGTTAATTTCCCATCTTGGCCAGGGAGAAATGGTCTAACACGACAGTATACTCTGATGTTGCCTGATAAGTCATAGCAAACATTAGAGTGCAGACAAGGGTGCTATATCCATAGAATTTGTTCCAATGCCAATAATACTATAATGGTGTAACAGAAATAGAAATTACCTTTCAATTCCTGCACTTCATTAAATAACTTCTGGTTTTCAGCAAGAACCTTATGGTAATTTTCAGCAGCATCTACTAAACCTTTTAGGTCATGTCCTATACAAGATTGAAAATTAAGACTGAGCACAAGATAATGTGTTTATATGGAACAATACAAATACAACTATCATGAGGATCAGTGCAAGTACCAATATTTGATATTTCATCCCTCCATGTCATTTGAAGGGCATACATTTCTTGTTTAATGGATTGAGATGATATCTTTATATCCTACAATAGTTTGACAATAAAAAACGTCAATAAACCAAAATACAATGAAACATAATTAAGAACACAAAGTTAAGCAGACCTTGATAGAAAGTTTCTGATTATTCATAAAACTCTGAAAAATGTTTGCTTTTTTGCTCCAGAGTTGTGACTTTAATTGGGAAGTAGCCTCAACTTCTTCAACTTTCTTTTTGGACTGCATAAGACAAAACTCAGCCTCCTTAGCTCTTAGTGTCAAGTGTTCCTCCATCTGCCTAGCTTTTGTTTCCATTTGCTCACGGAATTGTTCATGCATCCTATTCATGACTTGCATCTCTTGATGGAGGCTAGCAATTATATTCTCCGCATTCTCCTTTTCACGGATCAGCCGAATCATGTCTTGCTCTCCTAGTTTTCTTTTCTCATCAATTTTTGACTTCTCTACCTATAAGAAAAACACATAACATATTACCAGTAAATAATAATAATGCATGCAGTGTAAAAGATTTATTTGAGACAACATGTAGTACAAAATAACATAAGTAAACTTAGGTTTATACAGTACAAATGTGTGATGCCAATACTTTTATTAAGTAAGGTATTTAACTATTTATGAATACTTACTGAAGAAAGAAAAGTGCTTGAAAGAAAAAAAAAACGAGCTAAAACATATAGCAAATGAATGAAGACATTTTGGATACCTTAACTACCTCAAGCCGATTTATTGCCATCTGAAGAAGGAACCACATAGTTATAGTCAGTATTACAACAAAGGATTAACTCTGACAAGCATTTAGAACTCTCAGCAACTTTGGTGTTTACCTCGTTTTCTTCATTTGTTCCATTTACTAATGTCTCAAGTGCTTTAATTTTTGAACGATACTTATCCTCCCGTGTCTTGATGATGCTATTTTGCTGCGACACAAGTGGTTTGATTCAGGAATTAAACACGCGTGGGAAAAAAGAGAGATAGTTCAAAACTAATATTTTTTAGATCAAATGTTGATCCGATGATCAGCCCAGCTTTACTAACAAAGACCAAAGGTTCAATCAAAACTAATATTATCCTTACATTTCTAATGTGATCTGCTTGAATACCAATGCGGTGCTCAATCTCCTGAATAACATTCCTTAGTAAATGAACAACACGCTGAGACAAGCAAGTCAAACCATCAGTAACAAAAGATAAAAAGACACTAGTATTTCATTAAAAAAACGAAAATCAAAAGAAGTACACATACATGTGGTATTTCTCCTCTTTTCCTCTCAATACTTTCATCCAGAATGCCATTAACAACTCTAAGAAGGGATTGGGTAGGGGCATTCTGAGATAAGAACATATATAATCATTAGGTAAGGAGCCAGTGAAAAGAAAAAGAAAAAGGTTGCAGTGTTAGGATACACTATGCTAAAGATTTTACATCTAAACTATTTGAATGCAGCATCTCTGAGATCTTAGCAGCAGGAAGATCTGTGTAGGTTCCATGCTTAAATTGGACAACCTCATTGATCTTTTGTCCTGCAAAGGAAGGAAAACATAACTATATATTAACATCACAAGGCTCCTAAGTCAAAATTGGAGAGAAAGAGAACTTGAAAGTTATAAATGTTATTCGATTCACAAAATAACACAAGTTAAGAACATTATATGTATGGAATTATAAGAAGGTATGGAAGTCAAGCTGAAGTCATGGGACTTGTTAGATAAGTTTTAATCAGTATATCAATATGTAAAATTCAAGGATTAATAGAATATGCTCCCATTAGCAGGAGAAAAACTCATGATAATATTGTTTCTTTGGACTTCCGAATACCAAGTCAATACAGCATTGATGCTCAATATTATCTGACACCTGATGCAAAAAAAACAAAGGACATAATATGTGTACCTGAAAGAAGAGGGCTTCTTTGCTGGGACTTAGGGTATCTTTTCCCTGGTGTGGCAACTGAAAGCACCGGTCCATCAGTTTCTCGAAGTTCCAGTTTCCTTCTGATTGGAGTCTTAGCAGTGCTGTTAGAAATATGACCACCCAATTGTGTAGCCACATTATCCTTTAAAGCCAAGAGACACTCCACTATAGAAGACATTGATCCCTGTAATCACCAAAAAGACCAGAGTTGACAAAAACTACTGGCACAATTGACAATCATAACATGAATCTGATTCAATCAAAGCTTTCTGTCCCTGCCTCTTACGAATATCTGAGTACATCAATAACCATAAGCACTAGGAGCAAGCATCTGAGAATGAGGCACATTTTAGTGAATACTCTTGCAACTTTCTTCCTAGGCTAAATAGGACTCCATAGCAGAGTCTAAGATCCAGCTATCCAAGGCCACTCCGGTTCTGCAAATTTCTTGTACTGGTGCAACACTTTTCAGCCTTTCTAATAGTCTCAGATTCAGTGCTGATGTTCAAATCAACAGTCAGAAAACTTAAAAGGACAGTTCATAAAAAAATATGTGGAAATAATCATCTTGGTGAAGTCATAGACTCATCATCACTATTCCATGCCAACAAGATTAGAGTACTTATTTTCTTTCCAATAAGGCACTAGTACTGACACCAACTATGTTAATTATATTGTCCTACACCTTGACAAGGAGATGACATCATTAAGTTGGAAGTTGGAACATATGCTAGTATCATAATTCTACTGTATACTAACAACTACTTCACATTACTGGAGCAACCTCACCTCCTCAAGATCCTTCACGCCAAAGCCTGGCAGCCCCATCTCTGCAACAACAGAGAGGAACTTCTTCACATTTGACCGTTGGTCCGATGCATAACCACCCCACGTCCCCTGCAAACGAAGCCATATCAGCAAGAGCAGCTTGCAGAAACATATGTATCAGTTCAGTTAGCTCACCTCCAGAACACCGGGCATGAGCTTGTCCGCAACATAGCATAGCGCTTCTCCGTTAATGAGGTAATCCCGCAGCTCCTCGTCCGAAGAATCCAACGGCAAATCGAACTCCGGCAGTAACCCGCCGAGCCAATCTATCACCTCCGCACGCCGATTGGCTAGAATTTGAAGAAAAAAAAGGTGTCAACCAAGGAAACAACCGTGAGATGCGTAGAGATCTCAAATTGAGCTCTCACATTACAGTTTACTGTCACAAAACAACATTTTAGGAACAAAAGATCTCATTTTGACCTCCCAGGCAAAGAAAAGAAGGCAAGCGAGATGCAGGGAAAAAAAAGGGGGGCTTCATCACACTGCACTGGCAAAATAGGCAACCCAAAACGATTTAAACGCCGCGCAAACTTGACTCCATAAGCGCCAAACCTGGAGCATAACATGAACCGAATAGCACCGGCCTCCCATTTCGCGAAATTTTTCAAAAGCATTCATTAAACTCTGAAAGATCCAAACTTTGTAGGTCCGCGGCTCGAATTCGAGCCACTTCCCCGCAGCGAGAAGAGAAGCGAGAAACCCCAGATCGACGGCCTCACCCGCATCGAAGTCCTCGTACTCGCCGTTCACCGTCCCCATGCCTCACCGCCCGGGGCCGGAGCGCGCGCGGGGCGGGGAATGCCGGCCGATCCGGGCCCAGATCGAGCCCTCCGACCGGGTCAGCGTCGGCGCGACCCCGGATCGAGCGGCGCCGAGGCAATGCGGGAGGCGAGCCGGCGCGAGCTCCGGGGATTTTGGTTTGGGTTTTCCTCCTCCTCTTCTTCCCCGTGCTGCTGGGTGTACTGCGCTTTTGCTCAGCTTCCCCTGCTGTCGTTTTTGTTCTCTTTCTCCGGTGGTTAGTTGGGGGGTTTGATTTTTTTGGCTTTCGCTTGCGCGTTAAGCCCGGGCATGCTCGAGTACTGTACTGCCATCTCACGCTTTAACTCGCGTCACCTTACCGGTCGTAGGAGTAACGAGGTTTTTTAACCCTCGTGATTTTACTGACAAGCTTTTGACTAGTGGAAATGGTCAAACTTTTATAACTTAGACTATCAATAACTTTAAAAATATTTAGTTTTAAAAAACTAGAACAACATATATATTTGTCTTTTAAAGTACTAAACATGTATTTATTTATTATATATATTATAATAGAAAAATAAGGTCAAAGATGTATATTGTAGACCGTGTTATTATTTAAAACGTTAATTAAAATGAAACCAGAGGGATTATACTGGATAGACGTAATCACATCAGAGTTGGTGCCGCAGGTATGCTGGAGTATTGCATGCAAGATCCAAGATCCAACATCGCAACGTGTACAAAAGAGAAAGGAGGGAGGCGTATGCAGATGACGGGCACGCTGGGGAATTCTGCAAGACAGCAACAGGGCACAGGGCGGAGGCTTTTTTTTGGTGCTTTCTCGGGACGCGGCGCTCCCAACAGACACGAGACGGACAGCATCAGTGTACTGTCTACACCAGTACACCGCTGCCATAGGATTGATGCGATGCCGCGATCTTAAGTTTAAGATATGACCCTTTTGCCCGGGTGATGGCCGGCATCGTCAGCGGCTGGGTCGTCACGTCGCGCGGGGCGGGGGGGTGGTGGGGGGTTGTTGTACACGCCCCACTCGGTCTGCGGCGCTCCCCGTGATCTCGTCCCGCTGCGTGCGTGCGTGCTCGCACGGCTCTCCCTGCTCGGCTGCTCCTCCTCGCGGTCGCGGCCCAGGTAGGCCGTGTTCCTTTTTAAAAAGGATCTGTTGCGTCTGGCGTGGTCGTGTTGATGGGCAGCCACTACTTTTTTTTTCTTCAATGAATCAGAAAGAAAGAGATTGTGCTATTTCGTTATATATAGGAGGAAAATACAATCCCTATAAATAAGGTGAAAAGACTGTACAGAGCTATAAGGATGTCGAGAGGAGCTCCTGAAGCTTTTTTTTCTCCTGTCAGTGCCTATACGTCATTTTCCAAGAAACTAAGTCTACGGGGATACGTTTATATATTTTTTATATATTAGAAATATAGAAAATTAAGGAGTTTTTGTACGAAAATAGCAATATAATACTAGTATTAGAGCAGTCCGTTCCATGACAATCTTCTCCAATTCTCTATTCTATTTGACGAAGGGATTATAAATTGGGTGTAATCAAGTGTAAGACTACAAATTAATAGTACACAAAGCACAAATTAATAGTCCAATCATATGTAGTTGCTCCTGATGAATGTGCGTCAACATTAGGAGCCGCATGGGGATTGCTAGATGTCCTAGCTGCACAGAAGCACTTGGATGTAACAAAAACGAGAATATTTGTCCTAAACTAATACAAGCATTGCAGATCAAGCAAGGTACGTTAGAACACTAGAGAAGTGGATTTGCCTAAGATAAGATGGTCAGGAGAACAAAGAAAAATATGCTCGGTGCTTCGATGCTGGATGTTGTGCCTGCCTTGGGCGGTGGTGGCCCTGATAACCTGGCCGGTTGGCCTCCGCCTCTTAAGACTAGCGATGGAGGTGCTGCGCCTGTGTGGATGTGCACCCATCAGCGGGAACTTAGGCCGGCCATCTCACGGAGGAGGCCTGTGCCGCCGGGCGCGGCGGTGATGCAGCTGCACGCCTGCACCCGGCATGTGGCGGCGACATCGCTAGGGCGCATGATGCAACAGTGCCCGACGGACGGCGGTTCTGTGCAACAACGGCGAACAGTGTAGAGGACGAGGCTGCAGCGAGCAACCGAACATGAGTTGGGGAAGGTGGCACTGTGGGAGCGTAGATTTGGCTCGGTACTGGGTGGATTTGATCGAAGGAGGGTTAAAACATATCAAACATGTATCTGAATTGTTTTAATTATCTGAAAATCAGGAAATTGCTCGATACGTATCCAGACATATCCGATATCGTATTTGGTACGAATAAATGGCCTGTAAGCCATATCCAGGTAACGTAGGTCAGTGCCCAAGTTCTTGCTTCCTCCTTTATTTTTGCCACAAGGCTAGGTGTCGTAACTTCCTTGTGTTCAAACACTCATTGGTTCCTTTCTTTCCAGATTTCCCAGACCACCAGAAGAATCAAGCTACGCAGCCCTTTCTTAGGAACCTCTCTTTTGTTAGCAAGCATCTCCCACCAGCCTTGTACAGATAGGCAAGGCTCCCATTGGCTTGGGTCCAACTGCTGGTAAGCCACCCAGGAGGCTAGGAGCGTCCATACTCTTTTGGTGTATCTACATTGGGAAAGAAGGTGGAGTGCCGATTCATTCGTTGTTCGGCAGAGGGGGCAATGGGCGCTGTGTGGCCATCCTCTTGTTGCAAGTCTATATGAGGTCTAGACTCTATTTTGAATGACTACCTAAGCAGTGGGCAGCCACTACTCGTACGCCGTTCTCTCAATGCCTGAGAAATAGGCCAATGGAGAAGCTCGACGTCACGCGATGGACCCAAGCCGTGGATCCTTGTCGTGCCGTGATCATCTTTGGCGAGCCCCCAATGCCTGACGCCACTTCGCCCCTTTGCTCCCTTGGTTTTCGATGGCTCGCCATCCTCCATCCTAATATCTTCGATTTTCAGTGCATCACCTCCGGGTCTCTCTGTGAATCGAGCTCCCTCACGTCCGTTCCACTCCACGGTGATTGCCATCGTTCGGCACCGAAAGACGTTTCGGTCTTCCGGGTGACTTCGCCGGGAGAATTGCACAATTTCATAGGGTCCCTTTTCTTAGACCTGACAAATCACCAGTTGGATCGTAAATTAGGTGGTGTTTGAATCACCTGAAGATGAAGATGAAGATAAAGATTAAATGTTTCACATAAAACGAGGTGGTAATAACGTGTGATTAATTGAGTTTTAATTATTACAAACTTGAAAAATGGATTAATCTTATATTTTAGAACAACTTTCATATAGAAAGTTGTCACACGAAACACACCGTTTAGTAGTTTAAAAAAGTGACACTTTTATCCAAAAGTTTATCCAGTTTTTGTTGGAGAAAAGAACACGGCCTGACACTAGATCCTATTCAGGGTCGGCTATCACGGCATAGATCGAGGTAGGAAAATGCACACTGCACTTTTGCAAAAGAGGCCCTAATTATCGAAGGACGTATGGCGAAAAAAAACTATCAACGGCCGCGATCCTATTCTCTAGGTTCGCGTGAACCGTCGGATCTGATCTCGATCCAAAACGGCGCAAGGGAGATGCACTTTCACAAATACTCTCTCCATCCATAAAAGTCACATTTGATTTTTTTTTTATAAATAAGTTGTACCTATTTATAGCTTTTATGCATTCAAGACTTAAATGAAGAGATAAATTAAATATTTTATTAGAATCCAAGGAGCCATCTAAATACTTATTGGTTGCATATTTACATTCACTTCTTTATTTTATAACATATGATTTAATTTTAATAGGTGTAACTTGGATGGAGGGAGTACAATCCTCGAACGATAGATTATCGTATCACGCTCATATCATCCTCCCCTCGTCTCCGTCCCGCTGTGCCAAGTGCAAACGCCGGGGCCCGGGTTTCGCCGTGGCGCAGGAACACGGCGGCCGCCGGCGACGTGACCCAAGTTTCGTCGACGCTCAGGCTCCTGCCTCCTAGTACACGGATAGGTTGCCTCGAAGGCTCTGGATCAGGCCGTGCGCCGGCGCGTCGCGTGCCGTTCCGGGTGTTGCGCGCGTGGCAGGGGCTCCTCCGCCGCGCGCGGCGCATCGCGTCACTCATGGCCGCCGCCGATCGAAAATCCGGGATGGCTCGGTTCGTAGCGGAGCCTTTTTCCATGGAATACTGACGTGACGGCTTCTTTGCGAGGCGGTCGTCGGCAAGGATGCCTTTCTGTTCTTCCGCCCATGTACACGAACACAACTGTGCAAATGAACGATAGATTGATTGAAAGATCCATTTTGATCCCAGAATCTGAATGCTTTGTAAATCGGGAAACAATTTCAGCATGCTTCAGAGAAGAGAAACAGGGTTGGCAGAACAGAACCAGAGGCATGGCCAATATGAGCCCTGAAGAAAATGCATTATGCACCCATCATCACTCAGACCCCGTAATTCACAGCCTAGAGTGAAAAGCTTCCGCATCCGCCACATGACGGGCATAAGCAAAAGTATCAGTCCAACACAAAACACTGGCCACTCGTTATGTGATACGCTCTCTGATAACCGAAAAAGCACCGAAATACACAGGCACACGACGACGACGTTTGCTCAAGACTACATAGATATCACAATTCACACGCTCAGAACACTGAAGCTATACTGTAAACCAGTAAGTGATATCATGTTTCATGCTCGTATTACTTACACGATAGTACATCCAGTCTGTCATCTCTTCTTATTTCACTTTAATACTTATACAAGCGTATTTAAGTGTGGCACATCCATTGGCTATTGCCGTAGAGGCGTCGGGTACCGACAGGCTACAAACTTATATGCTGGCCTAGTTATAATGTCAGCAGGACCAGCATATCGAAGATGCTGGAAGAGCAGCAGTGCGCCTTGCAGAATGCGAATAGCCGGTTCTTACATGACAGGCCTAGTGGCAGCTCCAGCGGGGCCAGCTTGTCTTAGCAGCTGAAACACATATCAACACATTCAGAGATACTACAACTATACTAGAGGTAATGATAAATTTTCATGGCACAGCAACGGAGCAGGTGAAGGGTGAAGGTTACCTGGAAATAGGATTCTAGTTTCTGCCTCAGGACAGCATGCTCCCGCTTCACTTTCTGGAAAGACCTCATGCAACTGCATCACAAAATATGGAAGGCGTATAGATATTAAACAGTGACTGTTTTCACCGTGGGAACATAATTGTTCAATTTCAAAAATAACAATAGTGTGAAGTGACATATATAAGAGAGACCCTACCCTTCAACATTTCCTTGGCCACAACTATCCCTGAACGACATGCACTCATTCTTCATCCTAGAAGCGCCGATGCTGCACCAAGTTGTGTAATGTCAATGATAGATCAATGATACATCGAATTAAAAACAGTCTCGTGCTTTCTATACATCATGCCAAATGAGATCAGAAGCATGAGATGCTTCAAAAAGGTCGATACACTTCGAGTTTTTAGTTGGCAACAGTATGCATATTTAGCGGTCAATTGGCCGATTAAAGCAGATGGATTTCTCTGCAGTATGAGGTCTCCTCAAAACATTATTTTAACTTCAGTGGACATGCATTAATGCATACAGAGCTTTTATGAGCAAGACACTTAACTGGGTGGTTTCACTTTCATATAAACCAAAAGGGAGATGGAAAGCTGACCAATTAACTGTGATATGCAAGACTTTAGATAGAAAGAGATGGTGCAAAAGAGAGTGCCTTGGCTTCCCAAGATGCTTAACTAAACTCTGTATCATGTCAGTTCCCATGGTTCATGCCACAATGAACTAAAGGTTGGCGCTGCTGAATCTGACACCCTTTGTGCATCATATGCACTACAACAAAGATATTACATAGAACTAGAAGCAAATCAGGAACTACCTGGAACAGCTGCCTTTTAGTTGCTGCATATATGTATCCCACCTGTTGAAATCTCTTGGGTACTTCTCCCTGCAGTGTTTTCAAATCTCAGTTAGTCAGCCCCTCTTAGCAACATTTCCTGTGTAGCCTAAACCCTACAGATCATATTTTCAGAAAAAATGTCTCATGCTGCATATGGAACTTCAAGTACTTTTTATTACTTACAGAGCTTGCTCAATGTTTGACATTAGCCTGCCCGAGTCCTTAAAAAACAAAGTAACAACTTCTTCCACAAAATTAGGACTAGCTTCATCCTGCAAATCTTCCACCTGACAAAATTGCTCATCTAGGTATCCCTGCCATCAAAATATAATTTGCTGAATCAGCACATCTGTCAAAGAATTACATGAAAGAGCAGTAGAATACTGAAAATGGGATCAGATGTGGACACTTCCAGCATAAGACCTAATATGGTCGACACACCCTGAGCACACATAAGATTACTGTTGAAAGGGAAAAAAAAGAACTCCAGAGAATAGGATACTAGCCTGATCAAAGAGGCTCTTTTTCATGGATGCAGCTTGGCGACGCAAATTAGAATAATCCATTTATATGAATGAATGAGGAAATATGTGACAAAGTGAAGCCGTTACAGGTTGGAACACACTTAATGATGAACATATGACTTGTGGGAGCTATGGATATACAAAGTCGAACATGGGATGAGTTTATATAGTAGAGGGAACATAAGAAAAAGTGCAGATATTCTAACTTCTGGATAGCAAAGGTTGGCATCTTGCATGCACAGGTGATTTGATTGCCACGGTGTGCATAAGCTATCCATATTTGTTATCCATATTTTGGAGAATGACTTGAATAGATACAGATACCTGTAGGCTGTAGCTCTTTATAAGATGTATGATGTGTAAGTATGCATATGCATGAAGAAACCATTAACGGTTCTGATATGGATCACACTCTTCATAATAGTATATGTCACTGCATCAACTGATCAACTGCCCAAAGGTAGTTATGTTCCTAATGTATCACATGGAAAAAAGTCATGGTTCAGAAGTAAATTAATCATACACGTGATTGTTCTACCATTAAATAAGATGAAATCCCTACAATTGGGGAACTCATAACAGAACAATGGTTTGGACATAATTCTGTTACCAGCCAACCACAGGGCCTGGAAGGCTGAATGGAGTCTGTAGATGGTAGGCTGAATGGAGTCTGCAGATGGTAGTGTTACATTAACTCCTCAAAATGTTTTTGAAGTAGGGCTGTTCATTCCCAGTTTTGAATTTACCATTCAAAATCGGTGGTAGTCTGTTTTCTGGCATGCTCAACTAGAAGCTAAGGTAATCACTGCCTAAACTCATTGATTTCCAGTTTCGAGCGGGCTGAGTAAACTAGTAACACCCCTATTTGATGATTTAGTACAACCAACGAGGTATTTTGCACAAATGTAGAAAAATAATGCTCTCATTCTGTTCCAATAAATACTAAATTGTAGTTCAATTAATATCTACTAGGAACTGAAGTTAAAACCTACAAATAAAACTAGTAACTTTACACCAATCTCTTCTTTGGCTATTGATTAACAGCTTTGTAGGTGAAGAATACCATCAGCTTTAAGTGAAAACTTATCCTAATATTTCAAAAGAAATTATCTTATGTAACCAGACAAGGAGGGGAAAGATAGAACAATATATCTTTTTGTGCCCCTCAAAGTTCAAACAAAATGTGGAGATAAAATCTGAGAGAACGATGGGGAATTAGAATAGGCCCACTGATGCTTACTTTGAGCCCCAGCAAAAGAAAAGTAGACAGAGAAACAGGCACCAACAGTTCCTTCCAATTGTTAAAAAACCAAGACTCTCTCAACACATTGGACCACGTGTCAGAACCAACAAACTTTCACAAAAGGAGTAAAAGAGATTCATTCAATCATTGATCCGATGATTGCTCCTGACCTCCAATCAACATCACAACTTGATAAGAGAATCTGACATGGATTAAAAAATATCGAAATAACCAAAACACCTATACAGGGAATGGATCAGAAAAGACGCATTCTGGATGAGTCACTGCTGAGGCCACGAATGCGTGAACTACATATCTTGTCTACATACAATCTGCACAGTCAATACCTTCCCTACTTGATGTGTACATTTATAAAAGGATAAAAAAGCATAGCGGTCCATCATTCATCACTACAGAAAAACATGCCTTCTCTTTCTATACTGAACATTCTTATGACAACATTGTTCCTTTCTGCAAGATCATTCTTGTGGCAAACATCACAAAACATCCTTTTTACAAAGCACGGTGAGGGATTGTATTCTCACATAACATAAGACATATTTCAGTATTTTTTTAAAATCTTAACAGCATGCTTACAGGTAACCATGGTAACACTCTAAAAGTTGATACAGATAAGACGTAGGTATATAGATGGTAATGTTTCCCTATGAGTTCATGCGTGACAAGTCCAATACTCCAATAGTACTTATGGCTCCAAAGTTCATCAAAATGTAAATCAGAAAATTCCTGTGGTCATTATTTTAGGTATAATACCATGTTGATATAAACATTAGTTTCAGTTGAAAAAAACAAATATGATACTCAAACTGCTATATCATGCATATAGATGAGTGAGGTGCAAATAAGTCTCAAGACAAAGCTATAAGGGATTTGGCCTTTCTCATAAATGAAATTATCATACTATAGCATTTGCTATAGCCTTATGCCCCTCTGCAAATGGATTAGGCAAATGGAAATGGGAGAGATCAAAGACAATTTTATATCCATGCATCACATATCTGCTTCCACGCATCAAGGTTATTGACACTCCATGGCTTGTGCGTGACCACGTTGTCAACAATCCTTTTATAGCATCAACACATGCACTTTCAACAATCTAAAACCAGTATCGTGTGCCCAACATGACCTAGATTTTCTCCCAGTACCCTCCAAAAGTGTATATGTAGCTTTATCATCTACGGTTCCCCAAAAAGAGAGATGCTTCTATGGTTGCGTTTTGTACGTATAGTCTAATGCTCCAATGCTTTTGTCACCTTAGAATTGGTTTCCATACGTGTGCGTCTATTTGCCTCATATCCTGCTCACTTTCGAAACACATTTGGAAATCGCGAAAAATATGCATTTAAAAACAAACTATGATAATCAATTAGATTAACCTCCGCCGTATACCTCATAGAAGCTCAGGTAGATCTAGAGGTCAGGCTATAACTGAGATTATCAACTAGAAAATCTCCCAACTTCTCATGATGTATAACATAGCACTGGAGTAGAGCCACATGCAGTGAGCTCCAATAGAGCAAGGAGACACTGGAGTAGCTTCATCACCAGAACCAAAAACCAGTGACTCCTTTCCATAAAGGAATACATGATGTGCGAAAGAACCCAACACTAAAGTCTCGAAGTTCGATCAAATATCCAAGTTTGCGCAGCCTTTATCGTTCCAGTACTAGAAAATAAAAATAACACGGTATTTAGCTATACCGGCCAGCTTCCTTGATTGATTCGAGGTCACACGAGAAACGATTCTCTCGAGCGACATCCGCGAGGGATCCAGCAAAGGAAGCAAGGTATACCGACCAATGGGGAGCCGAGGGGCCGACACGATTGATTCCTCGAAAGCAAACCCTATAGTTGGCATCCACCCACGACAGGATGAGCGCGCCGGCCTGATCCCCTCCGCTCTCGCCTCGACGTCGACCGGAGCGCAGCCGCAGGCTCCGCATCCGGGGGATTAGACCAAAGGGTGGAGAGGCCGAAAAGACGCGCGGGGAAAAAAGAAGCGGCGGGGGGGGGGGGGGGGGGGGGCGAGTGCGGCGCCTCCGCTGAGATTGGGAGTGAGATGAGGGGATAGCCCAGGACCGCGAGAGTGATTCGATGATGCGATCAGCTGTGGTGTAAGGGGAGTTACCGCGAGGGAGGGAGAGACGACGACGACTCGCCGGGCGGAGGAGACGGCGGCGGCGGGGGCCTCGCGGGTGGCAGCGTTGGGCTGGCCGGCGACGCCGCCGCGCGCGGGGAGGTTTGGAGAGAGGGCGAGCTCGCGGCGAAGGCTCGCCGTGGGTGGTGGCACTGGTGCGGTGGTGCCCGTGCCGCAGGCCCGCAGTGGCAAGACTGGCAACTTTGCGGCGACCGTGGTTAAGTCAAGTGGCTCGGCTAGGCGTTCGGGCCGGGCCTATGGTGTGTGGTTTGGAGTCCTAGGACCCGATGGGTGGAAGAGGATTGGCCCGTGTAATTTCTATGCGAAGCTAGGCTGAATTCAGTCCGGCCACCCAGGCCATTCAAGGCCTCTTACAAATCTCAAAGCACGAATCTGTCGTGCGACGCCCCGTAAATTTTTTTTTCATTTAAGGCCCTTTAAATCGTAGAATTGAGAAAACATTGGAATAGAAAAAACATAGAATTTTGATAGAAATAGAAGTGTAAATTAGAGGATTGCAAAACATAAGAAAAAACACATGAATGACCATTTGATTGAACCGCAGAAAAAACGTAGGAATTGGATGAGAAAGATAGACTCAAAGGAAAGTTACCAAGAAGTTGAAGCTCTTGCTAAATTTTCTCTAAAATCTCTATATGGTTATCCATTCCATAGGAATTTTAAAGGATTGAATATGATTCAATCCTTTATTTCAAAGGGCATCATAGGAAATTTTCCTATAGGATTGAAATCCTCTTAAATTTCTATGTTTTTCCTCCAATTCAAAAGGGCCCTAAAGAAACTTAAAATTGTGAGAAGCAAACTGTTTGATAGTTAACTTGTAAGAATTTGGTTTCTAGTTCATTTTCTGAATTCTACAACTATAATTTATCAGAATCTAAACCAAAAGCTGAAAGAGAGTTTCTGGTTATGGGATAAGCTACAACAGTTAGAAGCTTCCCCTCTCTTCCTCCCCGAACAAGCCATTTGATTACCAGACAAATAGTATATCGTAATGAATCAGGTTCACAGAGTTAAAATAGACTGCGGGCCTGTTTAGTTCATACCAAACTTCTTCCCAACTCCCAACTTTCCATCACATCACATCCAAAACTTTCCTACACACATAAACTCCTAACTTTTTTTCAAACTACCAAATTTCTCCAAACTTCTCCCCAATTTTAGAAACTAAACACAGCCTACGTCATATATTTGGATATAGACTACGTGTCCGTATGTTAACAGATTAGGTCCATATAAATAGAAAGGAACTGTGATTATTTTTCACATACGAACATACTGCGCATGTTGGGATGAGAGGACGGAAGAAGAACTACTCCACTTTTAAACTAGTAGATATATCCATATCTAAACGTTAAGATTATAGCAACTATTTAATCTAAAAATTGCCTGTTTTGTATCTTTTTATTTTTATTTTTTATCCTTTTTTCTATAATAAAGATGAAAGTGTAAAAACTGAAAGTATATTGAATGGGGAGAGAACAATAATGTCTTTACAGTGAACTGAAATTTATAATGAAATTTCAACCCCTTTACCTTTTGTTTGTTTTAACATCTCCTAAATTTTACTGTCCTCGTGGAGTATCTGAACTTGAAAATTCAAATGCCTATGCATGTGAAAAAAAAATAAGAAAAATCAACCACTTGCTTTTTCCCAACTATATACAGTTTCTAACCCTTGTTTTTTAGCTTCATCCCATCCCACCATAGTATCCCTAAAATTTCTCAAACCAAAAACACTGTATTTGAATCCGGGCGAAGCGAAAGCCCGGGAGGAGGTGGAGGCCGGAAAACTCTTTCGCCGACCTTCCCCACACGGCTTCACCCTAAGCCAGTGAGCCCAGGCGGCGGCGGCGGCGGGGCGGAATGGCGGAGCCGGACTGGATCCTGGAGAGGGAGCGGAGGCAGGTGGAGCAGATCCTGGAGCTTGACATGGAGGAGCTCCAGGTCGAGGAGGTCGACGACGCCGGCTCATCCTCCTCCTCCGAAGTCGACACCTTTCTCAGGTCCAAACGCTAAACTCGCTTCTCCTTTGCCATTTCCGCTATCCACCCATGGTTTGCTTAAACCGTGCCTTACACTGTTACACATTTCGGTGCGGGAGTTGGCTTTCGCGTTGATACGGCGAGAGGATTGACGCCGCGAGAGCTGCTCGTTGCTAGCAACTATTCTGAAATGAAATCAAATGTTAAGTTGCGCCTTCCCAAAGTAGCCTGAATCCAGACAGAGGCCATGGAGGTTAGGGTTGGGGAATTTTCCACAGGTTAGGATGAAAACAGATTAGACAACCGCTTGCTAGGATGTAGAAGTTAGACCCGGTTTGTTTAATGCTTGTGGCTTTCCCCAAGTTAATTTGTTCATCCCATAGGGCATTTCCACACTATTTGAATAGATTGCACAAAATCTACTCAGTTTGGCATCGTATGGTACTTAGATTTTGCTGATATAACTCAGCAATTCATGATTTTGCTGACATGTTTTGGGTTTTATGGAGTGATGAGGTAGTTTACATGTTACTTACGTTTTCGCTTAACTACCATTAATGGTATTCATGATGGAATGTGCCTTTCCCCAACATACCATACAGTCTAAATTTTTCACCCCTCAAGTTCGTTGGTAATCAACAGATGTAATTTTTTGCCACTTATTTAATTCTTATTTTTACAGAAACACTCATGGGGATGGAGGATCTAGAACTTCTGAAGCACTTGCATTCAATACGTCTGTGGTTTCGCTGCCCACCTGTGATGGTGGTAAGCATTCATGCTTATGTTAGTATATTTCCTGATTCTAGCTGCAACACTTACAAGTTTGTTTCCGCACCAGAGGTTCATGATGCCCCAGGCAGATTTGCTTTCTTGGATGGTGGTGTGGTTCTCTGTTTACCAATGTTTTATCTTCAAGGTAGCATTCCTATAACCCTGTGTTCCAACATAATAGTATAGAGCTTATCTCAATCTAAGCTTTAAACACCCAATTCAATCTCAAGTGTTGTTAGCTGATCCATGTCGTGCCTAATATTGAATGCTGAACTTGCTAAAGTTGTGTCCTATTGCAAACCAACAAAGTATACATGACATGTACGCATCCTTGCCATTCTTTCATCTTACTCTTGAACAGTCACACATTTAGTTGGCATCTGTAAACATAGCTGCCTGTATTAAAGGCTAATAGTTTGCAACTTTTGCAGGTGTTGTTTTGTTTCCTGAAGCTATCCTGCCTATTAGAGTAGTTCAGCCTAGATCTTTGACAGCTGTTGACAAGGCTGTCAATCATGTTGACGCTCCATGCATGATAGGTGTGGTGCGTGTCACTTGTCCTTGTTCTGCTGCCTTTGTTCTAGCTTTGTTTTTAATGGCAATTCTCCAATGTCAGGTTCATGTTTATCAACACACTAATGATGGACACCATGCTATTGCTTCAGTTGGGACAACAGCGGAGGTGTATTTTTCATAAAGCTCATTCAAACTAGAATGATATCTGTGCCTTGAAGTTTCATCTTGCATATTTGCTCATTTCTGAATTTCTGTTGTCTGTGTTATGTTTCCCTTTTGCATTTTAATCTTCTGATCCTCCTTTTGGTTTCTTTTGTGACCTATTTTGCTGCAAAAACACCAAACTAAGATAGAGTTTGCAGTGGTCAGGTAGTAAGGTCGGACAAAAAAAAAACTAAAAAAGAGAAAAGTTATATGCTTGTCTGAGATAGCGTTTGCAAATACCCATGCCATTGAAAAGATATACATCAATTCTGCAGAAAGAGACGATGAATTATCACAGGACCTGTCCATTCATTTCTAGATATCACGTAGTATGCACAGCTATAGTTGACTGCAGTCACAAATGTCTTACTAGGACATCATGATCACCATATTTGATCTTATCTGTGCGGTTATATGTTGTTCCTTCTAGTTCTATGCTGCACAATAATACAATATCCTTGGGCACAAATATGCACTACACACATGATCTTCATATTATAGATATGAACTTCTATAAATTTTATAAATGAGCCCAACAGATATGAACTTGATCATTTGAAATATGGCTGAAGTTATCTTTTTCCTTAAATCATTTATCTTCAACTGAACTGTGAAGCAGTGAAATTAATAATTTCTTCTGGATAGTCACATCAGCTTTTGATTTTGTTTTATGTCATAGATACATCACATTAAACAACTTGATGATGGCTCATCAAATGTTGTCACACGTGGTCAGAACCGTTTTCGCCTTAGACGCCGTTGGATCGATGCTGATGACGTTGTAAGTTCTAACATTTGGTTGAGAAATAAGATGTTCTGAACTGCAAATGATTGTCCTATGAAGTAGTGGTAAGAGAGCATATAATTCCATTTTATTAACCATGGGCAGCAATGGGGTGAAGTACAAATTATCGAAGAAGATACACCTCAGAGAACTCCAAGAGATGCATTTGGCCAGTTAGCTACAAATTATATTTTCAACCAGTGTGGCACATCGTTACTCAGTTTGGGTACATCTTGTTTCAGACAAGATGATCATGTGAACTCTGATCAAGATTGGGATTCTCTATCATCCACTAGTACTTCAAGTGAACATTCAGTAACAGATGCAAGAACATACTGTTCCTCAAATGAAGATGAAGATCTCATGCTTGAACAGTCTTGGCAGAAGTATGATTCTGTGAAAAGAAATGCTGAATTAGAGAATCCAGTCAAGCATAGCAACACAAGAGGCAAGGGTGAACCTTGCTTTCAATCCCCAAAATCTTTACCAACAAAAAACAAAGGTGCTGAACAACGCAGGCGGTTCTGTGCTGCTTATAGTTCAAAGCTGGCATTGCAGGCTCCATTGTCATTTTGGCCTCGCTGGGCTTATGAAATGTACGATTCATATTCCCTTGCTCGCAGAGTGGCAGGTATTGAATTATTTCACTACAGCTATTTCAATCCGTTTTGTCTTGTATTCATGCATTCTTTAGCCAAATAATATTCTTTCCCACTGGCTAACATGTCATTTGTTACTATGATTAAGATGTGATGTATGCATGACATTAAATTGGTTTTGTGGCAGATTTGTGGAGACAAATAGTTGTAAATCCAAGCATGGATGATTATGTGAGAAAACCAGATATTTTGTCATATCACATTGGAAGCAAACTTCCCATGTCATGTTCTGTGAGACAAGAATTGCTTGAGATCGATGGTATCTCATATCGGCTACAGAAAGAGATCCAGCTACTCAAGGCCTTTAACATCATAAGATGCAGAAATTGCCTGGTAATGATTAATTATTTTTTAAAATGTGATTCCACTGAAGTTCTGATCATAATTCAAGCTTATTTTTCCAATTATCCGGTGTTTTAATCTTGATTGCTGCAGTTTCACACTTGCACTTGGCTATAACTTGTGGGCTTACCTGTCTTTGGTTGCTGTCGCAAACATATGGTAGAGTTGTAGTTGGTTTGCTACACCATACCATGGCTGCAGGATAAGCAATAGTAACGATATTTAATCATACCGCTTCATCCAGATATCTGTTGGTTGTTGCCTGTGTTTTAAACAACCATGGTACCATACTACCAGGATTTCCGAGAGACAGGGTTTTGATCATCAAAGCACACTAGTATTCTGATTTACAGGTGATATCTAAGTCATGATTCAGTTCTCTGAATCATTATGTAAATGACAAAGGGACATGTTCTTTTAATCGCTTCTTCTCTACCTCTAAAGGGCTGGATCTCACTGGTTGATTTAAACTGGATTTGTAACAGAACTTCTTGGAATACTTTCAAGTTTTGACTAATATGGCAACAATTCCATTTCTTGTCGCAGGCTCTTATCTCAAGACGTAGTGATGGCCCTGTCGGTGCTTATGTCAAGCAGTTCAGCTGTGGGCAAGAGATGATGACAGTGTACAATGCAACTGGTCTTGCACTCCGTGGCGCTCCTTCCAAAGCTCACAGTTTGTTTCCAGGGTATGATTCTAATATATTCTACTAAACTCTATTACTCAAAAAAGGTTTGAAATCCAGCCTATCATTAACAGAAGAAATGAACATTGTTATTCGTTCTGTTTGATCCCGTTGTTACTTGCAAATCACAGGTGTTCAGTTAGCAGCAATTTCCTGTGTTCTTCCATACGCAACTATCATACCTGCACTCTGTTATTACCTCCATTCTAAAATATAAAAGTTTTAGGGTTAGGCACATGCATTAAGAAAGTGGATGAAATTAAATGAGGAAAGATTGTGTTTGGTTAAGAAAATAAAGTAGGTGGTGATATTAAAAGGTGAAAAGTTGTAATTGGTTGATAAGATAATGTAGTTAAGGAATTATATTTTGGAATAAATTTTGAATGTTAGAAGTTATACTTTTAGATGGGGAGAGTATACGCTGCTAACACAAAGACCTGTATTTTTTGCAGTTATACGTGGACGATTGCTCTCTGTGCTGCCTGTGAGTCCAACATAGGCTGGCTGTTCAGGGCGGAGAAGACAAATCTGCTTCCAAAATCCTTCTGGGGATTACGCAGCTCCCAAGTTTCAGATGACACACAATCAGGACATAACTGAACCTTAACAGTAAGTCAGGGCCCCATTTTGTAATTCGTATAGGTCTGCCTTTAATTTCCTTATAAGATTCTTTTTTTTTTCACCGGGAAGGCCGAAGGAGGCCAACCGAATATATTAACAAGAAATAAAAGTTACAAGAGAAAAAACATCAAAATGCACCAAGGTGCATTGCCACACACCACGCGCTACCACCCAAGCACAAACCGCTGAGGGTGAAACCTAGCACCAAACGACCCTCGCTGAGCGTGGCCGAACGCCGCTAGGCCTACGGCAACACCACAGAGACGAGGCTTCGAAAAACGATGCCACCATGGTGGTCACGACATCCAGGATGCCGCCATCGCCCATCTAAAAAGATGTGGTTTTTACCTAGAGAAGCTCGCCAAGAAAGGGAGAGGGTAACCCTCGACAACGCTCCAAGGAGATTACGACGCCCGAAGACGTAGCCGCTGCCGGCCCGGTGAACCACCGGACTAAGCTTTCGCCTGGGACCCTACGACCTTGACTGCAGATCGCCGTCCACCAACTCAGAACCACCACACGGACAAATGGCAGCACGTGGCATCCACCACACCGCACCGACACCCCTCCGTCGGTCGACTTCAACGAACCACCACCCCTGAAAACTGGCCCAGGACTCCTCCGTTCCACCACCCGCCGGCCGCCTCGCCATATTTGGCCGAAGGAGAACCCGGGACTAGGTGGCATTGCTTCGGCAGCCTGAGCTTCCCCCACTGACGAGCTGCCGCCTCAATCCAACCTAGAAACTCCCCGCAAAGAAGGGGAGGAGCTCCACGAAGGCTGAGGGTGCCGACCGGCAACGAGGAAGACGACCCACCGCCGCTAGCTCCCTTTGCACTGCCACTTGGCCGCCAGTGGTGCTGCTGCTTCGGACCGGCGCCACCCGCCGGCGCCCGCGAAGTCCGGCCGCCGCGCCTCACCTGGCCACCGCGACGGCATCCCGGCTGCCCAGCCACCACGCCGAGTCGCCACCGAGGCCTGGATGACCCACCGCGCCATGGGCTGGCGCCGGGCGGCCAGGCCGAGCGAGTGAGCGGGGGCGCCGCCGCCGCTCCGGGCAGGCTTAGCTGCCCGCCGCCTCCGAGCGCCCGCCACCTCCGCGACCCGGCCGGCCACGACGAGCCGCGGCCATCCGCCGCCTGCGCCCGCCGCTGACGAACCGCCTCTACGCCGAGCCGCAGCTGTCCGCCGCCTCCGCGCCCGTGCCGGGCCGGCCTAGCCGCAGCCGGCCGCCGCCTCGCCGCCTTGCCACCGGCCGCCACCACGACCGCATGCCGTCGCGCCACCTCAGGCCTTCTCGCGCCGCCGCCGGGCAGATCCAGGCGAGGGAGGGCCGGATCCGGCCATGGGGGCTCCGGATCCGCCGCCTCCTCCCCACCTTGCCGCCGTAGCCGCCATGGACCACACCGGTGGGGAGCTTCGTCGTCTTCGTCCTTCGCGCCGAGGAGGGAGACGCTACGAAGAGAAGAAAGCCTCGCCGCCACCTTCCCTGCCCGCTGCTGGCTTCGCCGCTGGCGGGCTCCAGCGGCGGCGAGGTGGGGAGAGGGAGGGAGAGAAGGCGCGGGCGGCTAGGGTTTTTCGCCCCCGAGCCGCCCGACGCGAGAGCGACGCGGGGATCAGGTTTTTCCCTTGGCTCTTTTCTCCCCTCCTTATAAGATTCGGTATGCTAGCTTTGCTAATCGTGCGGCTTTCTTGTATTAGACGCGAGAGTTTGTCAATAACATAGATGCCTGCGTATTACCCCACTTATCGTGCCCCAGCTGCCATGGTCCAGCATCTGGCACATGCCCAGAAAATTGTACATATATCACAGAATGTGCCTTGATGCTTTCGTTAAAAAATGCAAAAACAAACATGTTCATCCGTGTGTGGATAGTGTATACACCTTTGTTGCAATCGTACGAGCAATGCCATATACAAAGTAAAATCATACTGAACCAAATTCTGCAATAGCAGACTTGGGTTATTTATTACATGATGACAGGGCAAATATGTACAAGCACAGTTCAGGGATAAAATGCTACTGCCGTACGATATAGGTCCAACCGCAAATTATTACTGTAATACAAGACAGCATGCTGTAGCCAAATGAAGCTGTACACTAAGGTGAGCATCACTTCATCTATAAGAACGGTAAATGGGGCTGTACATGCAGCTCTCAGCGTACTTCACCAAGTCTTTTGGGCGAGGGAGATGGCTAGCCAATCCTGCATACAGAAGTGCGAAATAACTGTTGGTATGCGAGCATCTTGTTTTAGCTAGCGTGCTAATGAACCACATCAAAAGGAACAAATATTACCAAGGTCATAGGCTTTTGCAGCAACGCGGGCTGCGATGTTGGCTGATATCTTCCTGATGCAGGAAAAGGGTGGATAAATAAGGCCTTTGTCAACATGCTCTGGGGTCACCTGGTCAGCTAAGCCTTCAGCTGTCCAATGCCATGAAGGCAAAAACAAAACAAGCAAGAAAACAACAATAGCGTGGTTAGCACATTAGTAAAGTGGATGGGAAAAAAAACTCTTGGGCTCATATAGAATGCATTTACCAGCAGCAAGGATCATTTCATCTTTCACCCTTATCGCTCCTGAAATCACTACGCCTAGGCCAAATCCTGGGAATATATATGCATTGTTTGCCTATTCAAAGGGTAAAGAGTATGTTTAAATTGTCAAAAACCTGAGAACTAAAATTCAGGTGGGGAATCTCTCCCCTCCAGTGATTTATCAAAAAAATAATAATAATTGAGAACTGCACATGTCGTGCGCAAAGGTAATATCCCTAACCTGTGCAGGCACGAAAAGCTTGTCATTGTATTTAACTGGATCAAATGGACTTCCACTCCCAAATATTGCACGGCCCTGCATGATGTATCATTTGATAAGTTATAAAGCATAAATGCTTGTGACATAATTTACAGAAGTTTATAGTTCATATATGTGTTGATCTCAATGGGATAGATCATAGATGGCGTGAGGTTGCACATGGAATATCACCTTACTCCATGAATATGCCTGTTCAGCAGTACATTCAGATTGTGATGTTGGATTGGATAGTGCGAGGATGATTGGTCTCTGCATTATATTGGAACCAAGCTTTCAGTTCTTGAATGTGTCATTAATGTGACTTATTATGAGTCAATTATCTGAAGAGGTCAATGATTTTATTGTTACCTCATTAATTGAACTCATAGCCTCAATCACCTCTTTTGTGAAACTTTGACCCACACCAGCTGAACCTATCAATGCAGTCGGTTTGATAACCTAAAAAGATACAAATCAGTCTAGTGTGGTGGTGCCTGAAAGAAAAATGTATACTGATATAATATGCATCTCTTATGGTTCAAGTTTTGCACCTTAACAGCATCCAGTAGATCTTTGACTGGTTCATGCTCATGGGCATATCGCTTCTTAAAGGGCTGAAGAGAATCTTTACGTGAACTGACAATCAACCCCTGCAATGCATAAATCAACTCTCAATGGTCCAATTACCAAAGGATGCAAGTTAACACTGCGATATCATTATTATATTAACCTTTGAATCAAGTAGCCAGATCTTTTTGCGAGCATCTTCCACTGGAACTTTGGACTGAAAAAAAATCATAGCTAACGATTAATTGAGCCATCATAGACAAATTACCAAAAATCAAATTAGGTGAAGCTAGCAATCGAGTTACCTGATTTGATATCTCGAGAGCCACTAGTTCAGCAATGCCTGTACCAGCCTGCAAGAACAGGTAATCTATTTGGAACAATCTATAGGTTTTACATGATAGAACAAATTTTTGCTCGTCGGTGATTAAGAGTCAAATCACTAATTTACTGGTGGCATGCTTAGATTATTCACTATTCAAGCAAAAAAAAAAACTTTTTTGCATCTCAACTAGCAAGAAACAGAAAAGGTTTCTGAACAACTGAAGTTTTGAATTGTGATAAGTCCTATTCCTATGGCTAACCAACTCTACTGATAGGATAATCAGTCCAACTATTTATGTTTTTTTTTTGTTACTGACTATCTTCAATTATTCATTGCTACAGTTATGACAGGAATGTAAAAGCAATACTCAATGTATATTCTTATAATACAATACGCGATGTATAGATGGATGTTCAGAGTTCAGACATGTTGCAGCAGTCTAAAGTAAATGTGAGCAATGCAGAATGCACCCTCCATATCACTGAAAGGGAAGGTCAGCTTACCTCTCCTGCGCCAAAGAATAAGAATGTGTGATCAGCTAAAGTCCCACTGACAAATTTCTGAGCAGCAATGAGGCCTGCAAGCACTACAGCAGCCGTTCCCTGTTTACACCACAGTTTCATGGTTTACTCCTATTGTTGTGAAACCCAGTATAAATGCACATTCACTAGTTCGCTTTCATTTAGGAACTGTAACGAGACCAATACGAAGAGTAAAAAAGTGAGATCTGAACCTACTACCTGAATATCATCATTGAAGACAAGATTGTTTGCACGGTACTTCTCAAGAAGGGTAAATGCATTGTAATTTGCGAAGTCTTCAAACTGTAAAATAAAACAAATTGAACAATTGCCCATAGGAACAGCTCATTTACAGACCAAAGTTTTCCTCTTTCCTTTTAACATTTCCATACCTGGACTAGCACCTTCTGTCCATAGTTCTGCTTAATAGCAGCCATGAATTCATCCAGAAGATCACTATATTCCTAATTAAAGAAATAAAAACCAACTTTCATGACTGAAATCACAACCATATTGTTACATATCATTCATGAAAACTGAATGAGCATATCCAAGAAATAAGCATGAAACCTGGCCAGTGGCTCGTTTTTGTCTTAATCCAATGTAGAACTCGTCCTTCAGTAAATCCTCATTGTTTGTTCCCACATCAATGGTGATAGGTAAGCACTGGAATGCAAAATGGTGGGAAAATGCTACATCAATCTGCTATTCTGCTCATTGCTGAAGAAAACAATTGAAATGAAAATAACTTACAGCAGAAGGCCGGACACCTCCAAGGGCTGTGTATAGTGCAAGCTTTCCCACAGGGATTCCCATACCCTATATATGTTGCAATTTTCAACGAACATGGAAAAAAAAGTCATGTTAAGCAGCAAAGTAATAGCACTTTAAACAATCCAAATGCATGAAGGATCCTTATCAAAGCACAAATGTCAGGACTAATTTACTGACCTGGCAACCAAGATCCCCGAGACCTAAAATGCGCTCACCATCAGTAACAACAATAACCTGAATGCTCTTCTCTGGCCAGTTCCTCAGTAACTCCAATATTCTCCCCCTGGTACAAAAGCACCTCATTTTAGAAAATTGAAGATGATTTACACCTCAAACTTCTGCCATCAGTTTGTTCAAAATAAGTAAAAATTAACATAAGGTGAAGGGGCAAACTACCAACAGAAATGAGCAACAGATACAAATGATGGAAGAAACATACTTCTCTTTAAGACTGATGTACAGACCCTGTGGTCGTCTAAAGATTGACCCGTACTTCTGGCAAGCCTCGCCCACCGTCGGCGTGTACACAACGGGGAGCAATTCCTCAACGTTGTCGATCAGGAGCTTGTAGAAAAGCCTCTCATTCCTCTCCTGCAAACCAACCGTCCACCGGAACAACATGACATCCGTGCCTAGTAAACTGCAACCGATATCTAGTTTTCTTCTACCCTTCTGACGCTTTCTCTAAACAAGATGAAGCCAGAGCACACCTGAAGGTCCATCAGAGCCATGTAACGTTGCAGAGGAACCTGAAACTGCCGCACATTTTGCAGAAGCCTCTTCTCCTGCAGGTGATGCACGCTTCAGTGAGAAACGTCTACCGACAATGTTATCAGATGAATCGAGCGCTGGGGAAGTGGAAGGGAGCAAACCTGAAGTTCTTGGGAGAGCACGACTGGAGGCAGCAAACCCCGCAGGTAGTGGGCGTCTCGCTCTTTCTCCGTGAATGATAGCCCCTTGTTGTGCCGTGGATCCCTCAGCAGAGAGTGACCGCTAAAAAACCAAGTAGCAATCACAAAATTAACACCAGATCACATATGTGTAGACTGGTCGTTTACTTTCTTAGTTTAGAGCTGGACTGGGCTTATCATGGTCTGGTTAGTGGTTGATTGCTCATAGTTCAAACGAATTCATGAAGTAACTAGGAATATGTTGAAATGACTATGCGAGATCGTGTGATAGGAAAATCTCAAATTGAGCCCAGATAAGCTCAAAGCTACTAGTACTAGTGAAATCACTAATCACTTAATCAATAATCATTAGTTCAGTACTGAAAGTCTGATACGTTGGCAAAGCTTCTTCAAATGGCGCATGCACACATGTAAAACCATTTTGTCCCGACGCAAGAACAGAAGATCACAAGGCACAAGCCATGCATACCTGGCGACGCAGACGGCCCACGGCGTGATGGGCTGGTCCTCGGTGGCGCGGTCCTCGCCGTAGGCGTCCTCCACGCCACCGGTGGCCACCCCCGCCATCGTCGCAGCGCCGTTCCCCTCTCCTCGCCCCGCCATGCCGCTCACCGTCCTCGCGCCTTGCCTGCAGCGCCGCCGCCACCACCACCACCGCTTCGTCGTCTCTCGGAATGCAGCGCGAGAAGCCACGACGCGTAGTAGCTGGAGGCCTGGAGGAGCCCCGTGCCAGCAGCGTACATAGGAGCGCGCCCGCGCGCCGCGCGGCGGGCGCCGAGGCCACGATGACGCCGCCGCCCGCTTGTCCGGGGACACGTCGCAGGAGAGGTGGCGCCACGTAACCCCCGCGGTTAGGCCGGTTTCTGGAGAGTTACACGGGGCCGGGCCGGCCAGTCCGGGCCGCACCTGTGGCTGGATTGGCAAAATCGTGGGCCTTTTTTCCTCCACCGAGCCGGCCCGAGCGATCTCCGGCCTCAAAACCCGACCAACCTCAGTTCGGCTCGCGGCTCGTCGTCTCCTTCGTCCTCCACTTCCCCCTCCCACCCAAAGACGCGCAGCCAAATCCGACGCGTGCGGCGGTGCGACGCCGGCCGGGGTGGGGGACGCCATGAGCCGCACGCTCCTCTCCCACATCCTCCACCGCCCGCCGCCGCTCCTCGCGTACGCCGCGCGCTCCGCCGTGCTCCGAGACCTAGCGGCTGCTTCTGCTTTGCTTCCGAGTCCCTAACTTTCCTCCCTGTTGTTTGGCTTCGCAGGTCGAGGGGTGGTGGGCGAGGAGGAGCGCTCCCGTCCCGCCTCCGCACTCTCCGACTCAACTGCAGCGTGGCTGAAGCGACTGCCTCCGGCGACGAGGCGCCTGCTCCTCCGGCTAGGAAGTAAGCCCCTGGCCGCCTAGTGTTCGGCGTAATGCGTCTGGTAGGAAGAGGATTGCGGCAGGTTTCTGTGGTATTTTGTTGTTATGCGATGGCGTAGCCTATGATGTATAAGTAAGCGTTTGCTCTGGTTCAAGGCTAGTATGCGTGAGAAGTCACGGATGAAATTCTGTAAGGCTTGTAGCTTGACTGTGGTAGGACCAGCTTGTGATGTAATGCGCCTGTAGGGTGTTGTAATGAGTGAGTACAGAATTACTGAGGTGTTGGGAGGGGCTAAGAATGGCAATGCAGGAATTGAATTGCTGTTGAAGCCTGCAGTTCACTTGCTGCTCTTAGTGTATATACTTGTTTGTTAGAATACTTAACTGGTGTTGGATGAAGCAAGCTACCCATACCATTTGATCTGAATTCATTTATTTTTCTCTACTAGACACTAGTTGTTAAATTAACCGTCACTTAATTTTTTTCGTGCTTGAAATGACTCGATGATAAATTCCACAGAAAAATTGTACATATCCTAGTATCCAACAGGCTAAAGTGAACTTATTTTTTGCGCACCAAGGAAGAGAGCATGCCATCACAGCTCGCTTCTCTTGGTGTGCACAAAATGAAGGTGTACTCAGTTGACTGATTGTTTTTGTATTTACAACTTCCACAATTGGTGCCTCATATACAAATTCAGTGTTCATTTCATGTAGTATCAAGAAACAATGACATTTTTTCAGTCCGATGAATATCTTGATCCTAAGTTAGTTTACACTGTCAAATTAATTAGTTTCTTCATGATCTTATATATACACTTGTTTGCACTGCTCAAAGTCATGAAAATATTATTGATGGCTAGTGTGAAGCCAGAATAGCAAAAATAGCTATTTTGGATATGTTTCTCATAGGGAATATTTTTAGCAAGTATGAACATATAATGCATAAGGTAATCAAGAACTTTTGATTACATTGCATTTTTTTCATGATGCATCTTTTTTCATGTTGGCTGTTTAATTGTATTTGGATCAAATTTATTACTCTTATTTTATAGTTATTATTATAGTCATCCGTTTGCAGTGTGCTTCCAAAGCAATTGTTTTTATGTATTATAAGGTTTCATGAGAAAGAATGCAGTTTCTTTGCCCAAGTTCCATAGTAGCATCTATTCCCACGGGTCTACTAGTCGTAGTTGTGATTTTCTTCTTCTTTTTTTTTTCAGATAACAAAGTTCTGGCCTAGTCCTGATTAAAATATTTATACGCGTTTCACTAATTTGAACATCTATATTTATCTCTACTGACTGCAGGAAAAGAGTAGTTTCTGGTGTACAGCCAACAGGATTGGTACACCTTGGAAATTATCTTGGTGCTATTAAGAATTGGGTTTCACTTCAGGTAGTGGTTTGAGAACTGCATCTTATTATTCTTTAATTTTGATGGTAATAATCTCAAAAGAAAATTTTTCAGAAACCATGAAGCTAGTGATAAATAATCAATCTGTAGCTCAGTAACAAGGCAACCTCAAATTCTGACATTGTTCATCTAATTGAGATGCATTTGAGAGCTAAGCTAACTTATTGACTGATAATACACACTTTATCTGTGATACTTGACATCTTATGCATAGAAATTCCTTGCAGGATCTATACGAGACATTATTTTTCATTGTGGACTTGCATGCGGTAAGTTCTATCTGACCTCTTGGCATCCTACCAAAAAAATAATATTTATATTGTTTGTACAAGGTGTCACTTATTTTGTACTTTTATCTTTTCCTTGGTCAAATTAGTATGTTTCATTTTCCTTTAACACAAGCTGCTACATATTTGTGTAATATGTGGTGTCCATCTTTCACCAATGTTATTTATGGTAACCAAAGTGTTCATGATGTATATCCAAATTGCCGAGTTACCTTGCAGGATCAAGCAAGTGGTTCATGCTCATGTCTGATTTGTTTGTAGTTCATATTGCAATTTTTTTTTTGTCTTTACGATTCATTTTGTGGTCCTTTGTAAGCTTATCACGTTGTTTAAAATGTCTGCAGATTACGTTACCATATGAAGCACCACAGTTGTCAAAAGCAACAAGAAGCACTGCTGCAATATATCTGGCTTGTGGCATTGACAGTTCAAAGGTCTGCTTCACATATTTACATTATATGATGATGTTTGTTGCAGGTGCCCTTGTGGAGCTGAATGTTTTATGTTGTTTTGTGTCTTTACAGGCTTCTATATTTGTACAGTCTCATGTCCGTGCTCATGTTGAGTTGATGTGGCTTCTGAGTTCTTCTACTCCTATTGGTTGGCTCAACAGAATGATCCAATTCAAAGAGAAGTCACGCAAGGCGGTGCGTCATTCGCTGTATGACAGCTTCACCATCATCTTTTGTTTGAGCTGAATTCCTTTTCATATTACATAAGGGTCTAGAAAATGCAACAGCTCAATTCACAAGAGCACATGTTTTCAACATTTCCGAGATTGAATATTTGATGATTCCATAACACTGCCTGCTCAACAGATATGATATCATGTAGTTAAAAAACTGTTCTGCACCAGTAATATTCACATGGTGTGTTCCCTACTTAATTTTAATACCCTATCAAACCAGAGGAAGGGAAAGCATTACATAAAAATATCTTTTAGTGTATGCCTTCTACTTGTACACCACTACCATATGATTAGCGTAACAGCATTTTTGAGGCAGTAGTCATGTGAAGATCGTCCATAGTTCTAGTTTGTAACTTTCACACTGGACGCATTAACTCTTATTAATAGATCATAGGCACAGATAAATACCATTCTAACATTAGATTCTTTGCTTGGGTGTAACATCACTTATCTATCAGTTGGCTTTCCTATGTTCTGAACAATGTTTGGTCCTCAAGATTGCTTACCTGATTCAGTTAAAAAAAAAAAGATTGCTTACCTGACTGACACCAAATGATATTCATGCATCTCCCCTGATTTCTAAATTACTAGTAGACCACCTCTGTCATTCCTGAATGTGATGTGTAGTGCTTCTAAAAGTTTGAACCTCTGGCATTGCCATTTTACTGGAGCATTTATTCCACAATATTAGGAATCATGTGGTGCAGTTTCTTTTTTCTGCGTGCAAAACCCTCAACTCCTTATATCATGGTGTTGTACTGTTTAATCCGTCCTATTTTGGCAAATTTTTATTTTGTTGGGTTTATTTTTTTCTTATTTATAGGGTGATGAAAATGTTGGAGTGGCACTTTTGACTTATCCTGTTTTAATGGCTTCTGACATTCTCCTGTACCAGGTAAATATTACTCGTGGCTATTATTTTTCTGGGTTGTATTCTCAGTGATGTGTAGAAGCTAATATTAATAGATGTAGTTTAACAATTCAACTTTGTTATGGTTCTGTTTCTCTCCTTTCTATGATGCCAATAATAGCTAATGATTGCAGTCCGATCTGGTGCCTGTTGGTGAAGATCAGACACAACATTTGGAATTAACTCGCGAAATCGCTGAGCGTGTAAATAATCTATACGGTGGAAGGAAATGGAAGAAAATGGGAGGGTGAGAAAATTATATTATTTTATTCCACTTTTTTGTGTAAATAATCTATTGTAACGATTCTTTTTTGTATTTGTTCTTGCAGGAGAGGTGGTTCACTATTTAAGGTGTGTGCCATATTATTTATATATGGTTCAGCATCCATTTTATACCCTCGGAAGTCAGAACTGAACTTTGTTTTGCTTATTATACTTTCTTTTTGTTTATTAGGTTCCTGAAGCCCTTATACCTCCAGCAGGGGCTCGTGTTATGTCCTTAACCGACGGTCTCTCCAAGGTAGTTAGCCATACTCATTATCATTTTAATCCTGATCACAAAAAATGAAACTACTAGGACTTTTTTGTTATTAAATTACTTATTGAAGTGTCATTACACCACTAGTATTGATGCTCATTCATTAACATATAAACAATAACTTGCAGAGCTGATTCCAGGCATCTATATTTTATACTTTCTGCTCAGTGTGCTGTATATCTCTGCCATACTGACCTTTGTTCTGTTTATTCATGTTAGATGTCGAAGTCTGCTCCTTCAGATCAGTCTCGTATTAACCTTCTTGATCCAAAAGATGTAAGGGCACCAAGAATTGAATTCCCTGATGTGTTTCGTAAATATAGTGCATAACTAATATCAAATTTTATTACGCTAGCACATGGTAGAAGGTGCATTTTTGTGGGATAAGTTGCCAACAAACATGAAGTAATACAGACCAGTCTATTAGAAGATGATGTAAATTTCTTTTCCTAGGTTCTTGGCATCGCACTTTCTCTAAGACAGCACAGACTTCAGATCTTTAACCTGAGCCCGTTAGAAGGCCTCTTGTATTTGTGAACCAACTTCCCACCAGTTATGAACTCTGACTGAATGCACCCATTTAGTTGTAACAGTCTATCAGAAATCCCAAAGATTTTTTTTTCCTCGGCAAAAGTCTTTTACCTGAGCCTGGTCTAGCCTTGTGATTGAAAAATCGTTTCCCACATTTGTGAACTCTGATTGGATGCACCCATTCGCTTGTAAGATGAAATTTTACACAAAAATAAAAATCTGGGCCTAGATACTAGGTAGGTCATGTTTCCATCTACCAGGGACCATGCTTATGTTGTTTGTTCTGCATCTGGATTTATCCTGACAGTTGTCTGTGTTTTGCAGGTTATCATGAATAAGATTAAGCGCTGCAAAACTGACTCGTTCCCAGGGTCTGTAGTCTGTGACCTCTCACACGCTCTCACACACATATGTAGCCTTTGGTACATAAGAAACTCATTCATTTGACCTTGTACCTTTCAGCTTGGAATTTGACAACCCAGAGAGGCCTGAATGCAACAATCTTCTCTCGATCTACCAGATTATTACAGGGAAAACTAAAGAGGTGGCCAATCTTTACATGCATGCTTTGCAAACCTAACCAACCAGAGCGTGAAGCAGGGTCACCTGCACATGATGGTTTCTTTCGTGTCCAGTCCAGCGTCATGTTTTCTTGTTGACGATGACAAGATAATTTTCCTAGTTCACTATCCAAGAAGTTGATCGTTTCAATAATTTTATTTTGACAGGAAGTTATCAGAGAATGCGAAAATATGAACTGGGGGTCGTTCAAAACAACTCTTACAGATGCATTGATTGATCATCTGCAACCTATCCAGGTATTCCAATCCCAGGAAACGTTCTGATAGCACAGCTCATTGCTTACCATAATTATTGTACTTGATACCGTGGTCTGCTAATCATTTTTTTCTGGGTCGAGTAATCAATTTCGTTTCTACATCTCCCTCTTTTCACCCGTCTAGGTCCGCTACGAGGAGATAATGTCTGATCCTGGTTATTTGGATGGTGTTCTCTTAGAAGGATCAGGAAAAGCTGCTGAGATAGCAGACATCACCCTCAACAACGTATACCAAGCCATGGGTTTCTTGCGCAGATAGCATGCGCTTCAACCATCCGGAACATTTCAAAGATTTTTTACGAGGTCAAAAAGTTTTGTTCGGTCTGTGTTACTTTGTTCCCCTTACCATTGGCCTTAAGATTGTTTTTATGCACATATTGGCCTTACTAGATTTACAAGAGCTCCATTCTCCAAATTTTATAGGAATATCAATCGTTTTGCTTGATGTTACGTAGTAGCCTCTTTGTTTCTGGCTCTACAAAAACCTGTATGGTCCATTAAATTTCTCATCTTAATGACACTGATTTCTTTGAAGTTTTGAGTTCAATGTTGGCTCCATGACTGAATGGTATTTGGACGTAAAAAGTAACATGTTTACGTGGACTGTTTTGACATTTTGCACCCATTGAAGTGTAGCTAACAAAAGGTGAAAGCACATAACACAAACTAAAATGTCGAAATTTTGTTTTATCTTTGTTTACTGTTCCTATTTGATACAGTTTACTTTCCACTCTGTAGCTATCAAAGGTACATGTACCCTTTATTCCCTCGAGTCCTATTTTGATACAGTTTACTTTCCAAAGCTTTGCTCTTCACCCTTCGCTCTTTGGATTTAAAACCCACAAATTCCTCTATTTTTCTTCCTTTTTTTTGTTCCAAATAAGTGACATGAACATTTCATTTATCGCAGTCAACGATTACCAGTCCCCCGAGTAGAAAGCATAGTTCCATTTCCACCGCTTCCCCAACAGTTGTTTATGTTAACCCTCCACTTAGGACTAGCGAGGCCTGGTTGATGACCCTAGCAATCCTGTAAATCTCATGCTGCACAGATCGCCAGGATTCGGACGTATTCGTCCTCTCTGCCATCTGAATGGCATCATCAACACCTGGATACACCTGCGCTCCGTAATCATCATGCAGTGATGGTGCATAAATCTGCGTTGTTTTGTTCCCCATAAGTAAAGCACTCAGCAGTTTTTTAAAAAAAAATAAAGAAAAGGAAAAAACTACAGCAGTTCATCAACCAACAATATTGGCACAAAAAACTTACCAGGTGTTTGTACCATGGCCTCCCAGATAGTCCTTCTCGATCGGTGAATGCTCGCTCCGTCATCATCAACCGCTCATTGAGATCTCTGACCTTCAGGGGATTGTTTCTCCAGGGGTTCCAAACTTTCCTTGTCTGTAAGGCCTAATAGGAAAGGGAAACAGGAAGCTTAAAGTTTTTTCCTTTTGAGCGGAGAGCTTAAAGTTGAAACTATGGATCAGGCAACAGCATGCAACAAACATAAGAAAAGACACCTTCATTTCAGAATCCATTTGTAGAGCTGCCCTTTTGAACTCGGCGATTGACTTTTGCAGGGGAGATGAGCTGACAGGCACTCCCAGCAATCTCTTATTTATATCGATTGCACCCTTCTGCGAATTGAGAGCAACCATTATGACACTAGATTTGGACTTCTCATAATGCATAGAAGTTGCATGGTTTTGAAAAAGAAAATCATTAAATTTGTTTGAGAACAGAACGATAAGTTACCTCAAGCTCTACAGCATAAGTGCTGTAGTTGAAGGGTAGGATCTCCTCATCGGAAAGCCTCAGGGCGACAAGCCCCCACATGCTTGCCGCTGCAGAGAGAGAGAACGTTGACTCGAAATTTTGGCAAATGGAGATACATTAACATGATCGTTTTCAGTTCATCAACTCAAGCAAAAGTATAAATGATGGAGCACACATAAATTTTTATACCAAAAGTTACTTGCATACTTAATTTATTAGGCAATTATATAAATGCAGTGGAACATTGCAAGTTCTCAGTACATGTGCACTACAACAATACATCCGTACTATATCCAAGTTCTACATATAGTTTGGCCAAAAAGGTAAGATATGAATATAATTGCATAGAAAACTATGAGGTTCAATTCCCAGCAAAGCAGAGAATGTTTCAATATTCATGTTTCTTCATACAAAGTTGAAAAAACATGTACATGAAAATGTCATGCCATCATGCTTCCCCCAAGAACAGACACAGCTGCCATGACAAATATACATAAAGTAAGATATAGCCATACAGGGGTACCTGCGACGTGCCTGCGGAACAAGGGATCTCCGAACTTCTCCATCCACACAAAGTCATCATACAAGCTATGGTAGACCGCATATTCTGCAAACAAGCAGCACACTTGTTTGATTCATCTAATCAGTAACGGATCTAAAAATTTTCTTGAGCCTAGGCAAACCTAACAGCGGGTGAAGCATGCACATAAAACCTTGACCATTAATCACAAACACAAGTAGATTTGGCATATAAAACCTTGCTTTGCGCTGGTTGATCATGCGTGTTGGGCTCCATTAGATTGAACGAAGCAAGGTAATTAGCTGTGTAATTAACGAGCAATATGCTGAATGCCATGGAGTAATACGCTGCTGCAGGTCTAGGAGCCCGGGCACCTGCCCATGCTGGCCGGGCCCTGGCTCCACCACTGCATCTAATAAATATTCTCAATTTGCCTAAAAACACTCAATCTTGAAAGGAATGAATAGTGTAGTTGATTAAGAAACATAGGATAAACCTGATCCCATAGAAATGTCAATTGAAGGGATACCAATGTGTTGAACAAAGGCAGAATAATCTGATCCTCCACCTCCTATTCTTCCAATCTTAATCTGCATGTGTATCATCAGCATATGGTTAAGAGGGATAGAGACTAGTATAGGCTATACATGCATCTACTCTTTACGCGAGCATGTGTAACAACAATTGCTCTAGCTGAACTTGAAATGCTTACCATGGAAGAACTATCAGAAGCCATCCATAAGTCATACAGACTTTGTGTCTCATTATCTGGATTTTGAACCTTCCCAAGTAAGATACGAGACGTAGCATATTTAGAGAACCGATATAGTTGATAGCGAAAAAAGTCAAACTAACAATAAAACTATAGTTGATTGATATTCATACCAACAGAAAAAATAAATTAGATATCTGTATCAGTAACCAAAAAAAATTGCAGCAAAGATCACTTGTAACTTTTTGTCATGCAACATTCTGTTATTGACTAAAGGAAATTCATCTAAAACTGGAATACCTGTTTACTCGCCTCCTTAAGCAACTCATCAAGTTGAGGAGTAGCTGATGCATAAAACCCTGCACCATACACTGCAGAATCAACATTCAGGTAAGCAACAGTTCTTGAAGTTAGCATAGCCCTGTTCTCTTCAACCCATTCAGTGGATCCAACCTTCATTTTCAAACAAAAGAAATAAGAATATAGATTGACATGTGAATTACTTCTGATAATAGTCACAGAGAGAGAGAGAGGTACCAGTCCATACTCTTCGGCATCCCAGTTACACAAGATGATGGTCCGTCGAGGCCTCCAACCCTTCTTTTGTAGCTCAGAGAACCTTTGAGCTAACTAAATAGCCACAGATCATAAGTTCAATGAAATAAAAAGTGTCAATAGGGTAACCAGATATTGCATACCTCAAGCAAGGCTGCTGTTCCACTGTTCGGATCAACTGCCCCAAAAGTCCATGCATCACGATGATTACCAAGGATTATATAGCTGCGTGAGTTTCATAATTATTTTACTGCATTGTTTTCTTATTGACTCATAAATTCATCACTACTAGGCACTTATTCAGAATGGTGATTTTTTTTTTTGGACTGAAGAAGGTAGAGAGGCTCTACCTTGTAACCATTTTATTAATGGTAGTCAAGGTGTTACAGCAAGAGTACATTAGAGTGGAAAAACAACGGAAGACAATGAAAGGAAACAGAAGAAGGAAAAAGGAAACAGAAGAAGAAAAAAAGAAGAGGAAGAAAAATAATAATAAGAAGAAGAAGAATAGGAAGAAGTAGGAAATAAATGTTGATTTTTTGATGAAAATTCAGAATGGTGATCAACAACGAAATGTAAAACAGTTCTCTTTCAGTTTCTATGGTTCCGCTTTATTAAATGAGTAGGGCATGAACTTTACACTCTTCAAGGCGAACACTGAACAGTGGCCGAGTTGGGGATATTGAACTCTCCGGACAGAAAATATGGGCAGTACAGTATTAGAGCATAAAGTTTACCGTTCAGGTTCTTCTTTCCCTTCGATCACTGAGATGACATTCTGAATAGTAGCCATTGTCTCGTTCCCCTGCAAACAGTGCCACCCAAATATCATCACTACCTCGAGCCATAAAAGGATTATAAAGCATCTCACCTTTACAGTCCAATTCATCGACAGCAACTTACAATGTAGGTGAGATTGAGCACCGCCGGCCCGGGCCCGAGCCGGTAAACCGGCGAGCCATCTCCGCCTTGCCAATCCTTGGGCGCGACATCACCGCCGATAAGCTGTAGTATAGCCTCCCCATCTCTTCCCGACACAGGCAGCGCCGGTATCCCCGGCATGTCGTCGGTGGCCATCGCCTCCGGGATGCTCACGCGCTCGCACCCTTCGGACGACGCCCACATCGGCGTCGTGGGATCCCCCACCCCCTTGAACGTGCTCCCGACCTGCACACCGGTGGGCGGCATCCATGGACCATCCGGGAAGGCCTCCCCCGCCGCGTAGTCCTTGGCATCGGTGTATATGACCGCCGCCGCCGCGCCAGCTTTCCGGGCGTTTATCACGATGTCGCCGCGGTACACCTTGCCGTAGCGCGCGAGGACGACCTTCCCGGTGACGTCTACGCCGCGGGCGGCGAGGTAGGCGAAATCCTCCGGGCGGCCGTAGTTAGCGTAGACGGCCTCGGCGGCGACCGAGCCGGACGCGGCGTAGGCGAGGAAGGTGGGGACGGCCTCCGCGGAGACCGCGGCATAGGGATCACCGGGGTATGTGTCCTGCACCAGCGCAAAGGGGGTGGTGGCGTGGCCTGGCGCCGAGAGGGAGAGGGAGCGGTGGACCGGGTAGGCGAGGAGGACGGAGTAGGGCACGACGCGGGTGGGGAAGGAGAGGGAGGAGAGCGCGGAGACGACGTGCTCGGCGGCGCGGGCGTTGGCCTCGGTGCCCGCGAGGTGGGGGCGGAGGGTGAGCGCGTGGAGGTGGGCTGCCGCGGTGTCGTTGGATCCGAGGGAGAGGAAGAGCGAGCGGTAGTACGACGGCGCGGGCGCGACGAGGAGGTGGTACGATGCGGCGAAGGCCGCCGCAACGAGGAGCGGGAGAGGGTGGAGCCGCGCCACCGCTCGGCCGGGAGGAGGAGGTGTGGGGGGTATGAGCGGCGTCCGCGCGGAGGAGGACCCGTCGTCTTCGGGCGGCGGCGGCATGGCCGCGTCGGGCAACGCGGCGGTAGACTCGCCGTTACACTAGCTTGAGTGCTTGACTACCACCAGGGTGGATGGAGACGCCGAGCAGAGTGAGCCGAGGTGATTCAGGTGACAGGTCAGGTGAGCCGTGAGGCCGGCCGCTGGGAGGAGCTGAGCGCGTGTGCCGCTGACGGTGTGGGGCCTACCACTACCAGGGTGGATGCTTTATCCTTCGCCTTTTCCGACGGCGTGGGCCTAGATGAACGGTGGAGACGTGGATTGATTCGAGTTGGGCTATTTTTTACGTTTTCTTTGTGGGAGTGGGTTTCATGTGACGTGTGCAAAGCATCTTGGATAAAACTATAGATAAGTATATTTACATCCCTTAACTCTTGCTCTTTATTGAATCTCATCTCCCAATCGGCAATACCGAAATTGTGGTCGAGGGATGCGATTCAATCAGGAGCAAGAATTAAAAGAGGTAAAATAGACTTATTTCTAAAACTATTGGGCTTTCAATGTCTCGTTTGAATGGAATAAGTTCGTCTGAGGTCCCTTAACTTGTCAACGAATTCGATTTTCGTCCCTCCCTCGACTATCAAAACCGGTGTAAATTAAGTCCCTCGACGGGTTTAAGGGTGGTTTTGGCTGACGTGGCGCCTACGTGGCTAATTTGACTCGGTCTTCATCTGACGTGGCGCTTACGTGGCAATTCGATCTAGAAAAAATAATAAAACTCATGAGACCCACATGTCAGTTTCACACGCAAATTAATAAAAAATGGTGGGGGCCCACACGGGACCCACATGTCATCCTCGCCCCTCCTCTTCTTCCTCCTCTCTCTCCCCGACTCCCCTTCATCTCTCTCCCCTCTCCTTTGTCCTCTCTCCAGGCGTGAGTGAGGAGGGGCGGCGCGCGGCGGCCGACGGGTGAGGAGGGAGCGACGCGCGGCGCCGGTGGGAGACGGAAGAGTTGGCAGCGGCGCGGCACCGGTGGGAGAGGAGGGAGTGACGCGCGGTGGTCGACGAGATACAGGAGAGAAGGGAGCGGCTAGAACGAGCAAGCTCCTCGCCCTCTCCACCGCGGCGGTGCTCCACGCGCAGCTCCAGCAAGCGGAGGCCGCGGCACAGGCGAGAGGCAAGGCGGTGGAGGACGACGACAACGACGCTGGCGCCGCGGACGACGTCGAGCAACCGGCGGCCAGCCCACAAACGACGGCACCTCCTTCTCCCTTTTCCCCTCTCCTCTCGTCGCCGTGGATCCAAAGGGAGGACACGGCAGCCTCGCTCCCCAGATCAGCGTCGGCGACTCGGCGGAGCTCGGCCTAGGCGTCGAAGACGCCGCGTGGCCATGATCCTAGCATTTGGGATGGCATCCGCTGAGAAAGGATCGTGTCCACGTAAGTTGGGTCATCGTGCCCACGTTCTGTAATCGCGTATGGATAAAAGGGAAAGAAACAGAAAATGTCACAAGCAAGTAATATGCAGCGCCAAAAAGACTTTCCCAATTGGTTTGTTCTTCTCGCGTCCAAGCGTGTGTGTGTTGCAGGTTTCACTGCAGTTGCTGGAGTTTAGCTAACATCGTCCCCCACCTCTTCATCGACGGTGGTGGGGATTGAGACGACGACGACAATGGCGACGGCCGTGAGGCGGTGCCGTGGCGCGAGGAGAAGCACCCAAAGACACGGCCAATACCCATATCTACACCACCATTGACGCAATCCCGGCGCTGTTCAACGGTTTCCCCCTCCTCAAGGGTGTGGACAAGCCATACTGGTTTGAGGACACCGACGACGACGGTGGCGTCCTTTTAGCCTCATCCCGTTGCCATCTCCAAGAGCTCGCCTGCCACTCGCCCCCTCTCTGCCCGCCGCCCCTCTGCTGCGCCCACCACCTTTCGGCGCCGCAGTGCCGCCGCCCTTTCCCGTCGCTTGTGCCGGCTTGCTCCAGCCGCCGCCGCTTAGCTCTGCCGGCCGGCCACTCCGCTCAGACCTGCTCCGCCCAGGTGAGAGAGAGAGAGGATGGAGAGGAGAGGGATGACATGTGGGGCCAAATAGGTCCCACCATTTATTATTATTTTGTGAGTTTTTTTACAGTCCATCAGGACTTTTGGTACCTCTAGGTACCTACAATCACAGCCATCCATTGAGGTAGATCCAACGGCTATCAGTCCTTGGTACTGCTAGGCACAATAATTCCCTCGATGGTACCTCCCCTTCGTCGAACAAGTGGAAGGGTAAAACTGGGATTTCGCATAGTTCGTTCGCTGATTCCGCACCGCACGCTCCTCCCAATCGCCAGCAAGCTGCCACCCTCGAGGCGCCTCCTCTGCATCCTTCCTCCATGGCGGCGGCGCGGCTAAACTCGTGGCCAAATCTAAGCTATCGGGACACCTCCGCCACCCTCGCTGCAACCTGCGGCCACGACGACGACCTCAATACGACAACGAAAAGACGGCCACAGTGATGTGCTCAGCGCCACAGACGCAGCGGTGCAGCCTTCTCCCCGGCGCTAGTACAGCTGAGGCGGCTGTTGGGCGACGGCGGCGACTTCAGGGGAACCTCCTGACTGCCCTCCCCATACCCTCCCAACGGCGCCGTTCCTGCTTCCTCCCTCCTCCCTTCTCCCTTCTCCCGATCCAATCTCAACCCATTAGGAACAAAACCGAGGTCAGCAATAGATGCAAATCCAGCTTCATCTCAATCCATCAGCAACAAAGCCGAGATCAGCAACAGCTAAGTTATAAGCCTCTTATTACGATGTGATTCCTGACTTGGTGATCGATGTGATTCCTGACTTGGATCTTCCTCTCATCCAAAATCATAAGAAGCCAATCGTGGAGACCATGATCAGGGGCTGGACGAAATCGAAATCGAGGGCTTCTGCTCCTCTGCAGGACTGCAGCCACAGTCGGGTCCTGGCGGTGCCGCCGCCGTCGCGCGAGGATAGTAGGAGGTCGCGAGTCACTTGATTCCTTTTTTTTTCCTATCGTGCCCTTGCTTATTCAACGGTTGGATTTCGTTTGATACCTGGTGGTACCAGGACCTTGAGGTACCACTTGTTGGACCGTAGCAAAACTCTTATTTTGTATGTAGCTGATATGTGGGTCCCATGTTTTTTATTTTTCTAAATTAAATTGCCACATAAACACCACGTCAATGCCACGTAGGACGAAGATCTAGTCAAAAGAGCCACGCAAGCGCCACGTCAGCCAAAACCGGGCATAATATTGCCGAGGGACCTCTTTTGCACGGTTTTATAAGTTAAAAGGATGTGTTGTACCTGGTTTTGCACTTAAGGAATGAATTTCAAACTCGGCGACAAATTGAGGGACCTAGAATGAACTTATTCCCGTTCGAATCTGGCAGTAGGTTGATACGGGCCTTATTTGGGCTTTATTACGTTAGTTGGCCTGCACGGCCTGGTTGCTAAGGTTGCTAACAAGCGTGTCCGATACTCGCTTCTGCAGGCCACACACTAATCCCTATACGCAACTGATATGGTTGATCATTCGTCCGTAAATAATCAGATCGGTTTTGCCGATCATTAACCATGTATACAGCTATTACGGTTGCCGAGAGCTTGAAGATAGAAAGGCTGTGAAAATTTTCTACTGCAACGGAAATTGCATGGCCAGGGTCGCCATGGCGCACATAAAAGCTGCATGGGTCATGCTCATGCACTCCATTCATGAAACCGATCACTATGGCCGGTGAGACATAAAGGAAGGCGAAAGGAGAAAGATTTGCAACGTCATCCGTCGCCCATTTATGATTTGTTGCCGCCATCCGTTTCAAGCTTTCAACGCTAGCTTCTTCTTGTCAGTCGTGCAATTAAAAACAGCACTGACGTCGCACTGAATCGCTTGCAACTTTCAGTCCTGGAGGGATCTGCATTACCAGAAGCACCCAAGACGGAGAGGTGTATGGCGGCTTTGATTACCCTAATCATCCAGACCCATTCGAATGATGACAGAAAGCAAACATCAGTTTTTGTTGGAGCCACCAAATCCACTTGTGTACTTCTAGAGTTGCACCAAATTCAGAGCGCGCGCTTCATTACGTGCAAGCTGATGATCATCTAATTGTCATCATTTTGCTCTAGTGGATTCTGATGATCTGATCAACCTGTGAAATAGCATCACACCGCCACCACGAACTGATGCACTTTTATTTTCTTGTGGTTGGGAAGGTACTTACGAAGTCCGGAAACAGTCCTAACGCTCTTAAGTTAACGCAAGTACTCATTGGCAGGCGAAAATAAAAAATAGAATGAAATAGCAATGCTACTCCATGCTTAAGAGACAAACAAAGGATCCAGTCTATTCTGGCCCTAAACCATGAAGCAGAAAACAAGTACAGGAAACACAAAGCGTTCAAACCATCATGGGCAAATTAAATTAGCCACACAGTTAGGTACGTTTTCTGGAGTTACATGTTTAGCCATTTAGGTACGTTTTTTAGGTGCAAACTCGAAGACAAGTATCTAAAAAAACCATTAGAGCTAATATGTTGTATGAAAATATTTCCAAATACGAATCTAGTGACACTGTGTGCAAACGTATATATTTTAAATTTAGATTAGTCAAATAAATAGTTGTTGACTTTAGGGGAAAAGGTATTATATTTTCAAACAGGCGCAGTATACGGTTATATCGATTTCTACCACCCTCTCTCTATTTTCTCTCACCTATATGTTTAATTAATGCATATCTCTTATAGCATTTGCGAAGAATAGACTTTTTTTGCGAAAATTGCAAAAATCGCCTCATAAATCATTTGAAGTTTGACATTCCACCCCCATAAGTCATTTTGTTGCAAATACCCATCTCCTATTTAGGTTTGTTGCAAAAACCACCCTAACACGCATGTACTTAATCAAATCAGTTTGTTTATTGTTGATGTACGGTTATCACAGGTTAAATTAGTCAAGTCAATATTATCCTAGTGTTTGCATTAGACTTATTTTCTATATTTGATTGAACTTTTTTTTTCATATATAGCGAAACTCAGTGTGACAACGTTTAAGCTCTCGTCTGTAATTTTATTTGTGGAATCTCACCAAAAGAGTATCAAGAATACTCTGTAAGTATTTAATTTTGGTAAAGGCCATATTAACTGTTCACACTTTATGAAAACATATTGATTCGGTTACGCATGTATTTATTGGGGTGGTTTTTTTAACAAAAATATGTAGGTGGA